CCTTTCTACTAAAACGTGTCACTATCAGCGGCCGCACCCTTTGATTATTTTACTCTGTGTTGACAGCAGTTCAAGTACAGGTTTTTTGTTCTGTTGGCAGTGAACCCCTTGTTCCGTATTGTTTGTTTTGTTGTGCCTGTGGTAGCGCTTTGATGGTGTTTTTAAAGTGATCACAGTTGTCAGCGCTTCTGTTCACAGTTTATGACGCCTGTCGGGTTAATACTCCTTTCATACAACGCTCCCAGTTTAGGGTTAACTGTTCAGCAGTACTTTAGCCAACGTACTTTTTTTTAAAAATAAAATCCGCGAGACTTTACTAGCTCTTCATAGGGTAACAGATAGGGTTGTGCTGATATTGTTCATCTTCAACAGAAAACAGCCGGATTCGTGGATATCCTTGACGATCTTGAGTGTAGATTACAGCTGTGATTTGGGTTTGTGCTAAAGACTTTCACTAAACAGCTGTGATTTGGGTTATTGTTGAAAACCTCGGATGGACTGCAGTTGTTGTTTGGGTTACTGAAGATCTTCAAGACGTTGAATACTCAATACTTTTCATTTGGAATATTCTTAAAGACCTTACGTGAACTACCGTGTGATTCGGGATGTTGCTGCAGACTTTGAGTTGACTGCAATCGAGACTCTGGATTTAGTTGAAAGCCTGGCGTGGACGATACCTGCGATTTAGAATGCTGTTTATGACCTTTGTCGACTTTGTGTAGGGTACCATAGCACAGGCGTCGCGGATTATATTATGCTCGCATTTGATTTGATTTGGATTAGTGTCTTCGAGAACTGAAATGTCCAGAACTAGAGGTAGGTGCATATAACGTGTGGCTAATTATATAGTTTATCATCCTTTTTTTTTTTTTATCCACCACTATCGTTGTAATCATCACCATCATCGTAATTATTATAATCATCACCATCATTGTAATCACCTCCAGCATAATCATCACCATCATCGTAATTATTATAATCATCACCATCATTGTAATCACCTCCAGCATAATCATCACCATCATCGTAATTATTAAAATCATCACCATCATTGTAATCACCTCCAGCATAATCATCACCATCATCGTAATCATCATCATAATTACCACTGGCATTCTCACCACCATCATAATCACCACTGGCATTATCATCACCATCATAATCACCACTGGCATTATCATCACCATCATAATCATCCCAATCACCACTGGCATTATCATCACCATCATAATCATCACCATCATAATGACCACTGGCATTATCATCACCATCTTAATCACCACCATCATAATCACCACTGGCATTATCATCACCGCCATCAAAATCACCACCATCATAATCACCACCATCATAATCACCACTGGCATTATCATCACCATCAAAATCATCATAATCATCACCGGCACCATCATCACCATGGCTGCTGCTGCCACAATAATTCTGATTATCATGCATGCCGAACGCTACTTCAAGTGTGTATGTGGTGTCTGGGTGTATACAAGCTTGCATGGTTGGTTGAGGCGTAGAAGAAGTGGCTTTAACCCAGAATACCTTGTGTTTTACGGTTTTCCTGATCCGGAAAATGGCCTGCTTCTTTCGGAGTTTAGAGGCATTTCTCATGGTCTGTTGCTAAAGAATCATCTCCACTGGGGGACCTTGTTGCAGAGCTCCCAGTTCTCTAAGCGTAGAAAGCTTGTAGGTAACCCGTTTGCCTCGCCCTCACGCTCGAACTTGGGTCTTCCCTTAGTGTTTCCCCCTGTGTGTGTGTGTGTGTGTGTGTGTGTGGGGGGGGGGAGGAATAGGGTATGCTCCTTATAAAGCTTGTCGTAAAAGGCGACTTATTCGATCCGCTGAAATCTGGGCAGAAATGTGCAGCCTATCTGTAAAACCACAAGAAAGACAACGTCCCGTGCTTTTAATGGTGAACCGACAAGGAAGCGAAGACAAAAACTAACAGGCTGTTACATCATCGTATTTTTGGTCCGAATGTCAAACCACGTCCGACTTTAACCAGTAATAGTCAGACGTGGTCAAACAGGCACGTCCACGATGAGTATCTATTTCTGGAACTGACATGTTTCCGGGAAATCCCGTTCGGGCCACAGCACAGACGTTTGTAGTGGATGTAAACTTTTCTTGGAACTGGGAGATTTCTATCATGACCTATTTCAGCTGGAGACGGTCTTGTGTCTCTATATTACTGGTGTGGTTTCGTTTTCGAGCATTCGTCTTTCCCGGGTGACGTGGTCGAAGAATTCTGAGGATGAGGAGGTTCCCCGGGTTCGACCACAGCATAGTTCTAGTTGGGTTTTTAACGTGCGAGGGTCAAGACGCGGGATTTTTTTAATCAGTGAGCAACTAGCGTCATCGAAAGGAGAACCCTTTATTTGGCTAGTGGGACAGAGCAGGTGTGGGCACACCCTTCTTGCTACTGGGTTAGTTTTTACGTGGGTATGCTTGTTTCGCTGTAGCGCAACGGTTCTCAACCTGTGGGTCGCCACCCTTTTGGCCGTCGAACGACCCTTTCACAGGGGCCAACTAAGACCACCGGAAAACACATATTTACTGAAGCTATGAAGTGGCAAGGAAAATCAAAAGATTGGGGGGGGGGGGAGGCGGGGGAGATTGCCACAACATGAGGATCTGCTTTAAAGGGTGGTGGTATTAGGAAGGTTGAGAGCCACTGCTGTGGAGTTTTGAGTTTCCCCATCTGTTCGATGTTGACTCATTGAAACAAGACGCGGTTGTGATGATTATGAATAGGTCGCGGAATCGGGACAGAAAAAAAAAATTGGATATGACTCAACTTTGCGTTGGAATTAAAAGAAAACCACAGTAGGTTCGACCTCAGTTGTCGAGCTGATTTAAACACAAACCATGGCAGAGAGAGAGAGAGAGAGAGAGAGAGAGAGAGAGAGAGAGAGAGAGAGAGAGAGAGAGAGAGAGAGAGAGAGAGAGAGAGAGGGGATAGAGAGGGAGGGGAGAGAGAGAGATATATGCCCTAGTCAGAATCCAAAGACTAACAAGAAGGGCAGTTCTGTGGACGACATGACAGAAATGGCTTTGTGTTACAGGCTCACCCTCTATTTCTGTACAGTGAGACTCACTCTCAGTTCCTCTGGTATTCTAAAAAACAATATTTTCTGACCCTGTCCAATCCCAGGTGGTTATTACCTTAATCCATTTTGCACAGGTCATTATTATTATAAGCAACTTTATTTGATATTAAGATGTTTCTGCCCTTTAGCACCATTATTTAAAACTTTACTGGATTCAGAAATTAGTAGGTGAAGATTCCTTTTCAAGCCTTTAGGCGAATGAGAAGAGCACCCATATTTTTACAGACCAATCGACACTAGCATTATGCTGGTCATCTTTACTTCCCCAGGTCATGCATCCTGGTACCCATTTTAGGCTGGGTCAACATGCATACCCTGATTTAAAATCCACACAGCCAACATTGGGTTTCGATCGCGGTATGCTGGAATTACGAGTTGGACTTGCAAACGCCTAAGCCTTGAACTCCGCGGATTACGAAAATAAACATATCGCCAGTACAACTATCCGCATAACTCCAGCTGTGTTTATTTGTTTAACCTCAGGAGTGGAGGACACACACTGACATGTATCTATGGAAACTTAATGGGATACCCTGTGTATTTTTAATCTAGGTCATCTTGGTATGGGGAAAAAGCCAAAGTACCCACATGCTGGTGCTGAAAGAGTTAAAGAAGTAATGAGGTTACAAACTGTAAACAGTAGAAGCTGAAGGACAGCTCTGTGCTACCTAGAAAATATGGGCTGCTTTCTAAGGAGGCTTCGTAATGCCGGGATACCGGGTTCGATCCCAGCTGCGGGCCCTGCGCCCTGCGTTGGTTTCGACCATAGGAGAACACATATTCATTGAAGTTATGAAAGAAAATAATTATTTGGGGGTCGCCACAACATGAGTGAACTGTATTAAAAGATCGCAGCATTAGGAAGGCTGAGAGTCACTGATCTGGGGGAATGAGATATATAGGGGGAAATCAGCTAGCTAGCCTTAGGGGGCAGAAATTGGGCTATCTGCAGAAAATGTATCCAATTTACCAACATTATGCTACCAGTGCCAAAAGAAACAAGAAACATTGGGACATCAGATATTCCCTGTGTGGGTTCTGGGGCCCTATTATAGGGGGAAACAAGAACAGACCCACTGCGTCCCCAGCAAGCATGTCATAGGAGTCGACTAATTGGAGACTTGCTTCGAAGTCGGGGAGTGTATCTGCTCAGGTGTCAAGAAACAGCCAGTTGCACACAAATAAGTCAGTAAAATGGATGTACACACAAAAATCAGGCCTTGGTGCAAAGCCGGTGAACAAAGAAGAACAACAATAGAAAGGAAATGTCTACACTAGAGAACTACATCAAGAGACAACAAATCAAATGGTTCAGACATGTCTCAAGACTACCATCAAAAAGTGCACCAAAGAAAAGCCCTGTCACTTTAACATATTGGAAACAGAGCTAGGGTTCGAGCACGCAAGCAGTGGTTTGATGAAATATCCATACCAGCATCTTCATGCTAGGACATGTTTGCAGAATGCCTTGTGACACTGGCAGAAACAGCTCTCCGGTGGACAGCAGATGGGAAAAGGAGACGTGGACAACCTAAGGAAACCTGGAGAAGGACAATAGAACAGGAAATGAAGGAATGTAAATTAACATGGGATACCATGGGCAGAAAAGCAGCAGACCGGCAGCAATGGAGATCACTTGTGAACGCCTTATGTGTCAACAGCGACATCAAGAGGACATAGATAGATCTACATAGGACATAACAAGGCTTGCACCTGATGCCTCTTCAGAACCTATTGCTCATCAGGACTAGAGAAAAAAAGAGGGAGGTAGCTGACCTTGAGCCTGACACTTAATCACCTCTGTGGTGTGTCTGGTAGGGTACAGAAAAAGTTATTTAACACATGATTGACACTAGTTTCCCTCTGATTTCATCTCCACAGGTTGGTTATATTACACAGTCAGCCAACTGGCGGACAAGAACACTCGAGAGAACTTGGCCATACAACACCTCAAGGCCTCGGTGGACATTGATTCCTCCAATGGACAGGCATGGTACCTCCTAGGAAGGTTTGTGTCCCTTTTCTATGACTGTATTCTGTGAAATGTAATCAATGAGGTCTGCTTTACTGATTTAATGCTGACTTTTGTGTTTATTGGTAGCAGTTGGTAATTCCCTAGCTCTGCAGCCAAGTATTTTGATATTGATGTTGTCTCGGCACCCAAGCTTCTTTCTTTTTTTTTTATCAGGGTTTGGGACCAGCTAATCATGAATAGCTTTTTTTTTTGGCTTTGATTTTGGATTCTTCTTCTTCTTCTTCTTCTTCTTCTTCTTCTTCTTCTTCTTCTTCTTCTTCTTCTTCTTCTTCTTCTTCTTCTTCTTCTTCTTCTTCTTCTTCTTCTTCTTCTTCTTCTTCTTCTGCCTCTGCTACTGCTGCTGCTCCTCCTCTTCTTTTTGCTGTTCTCACTCTACCTCTTCCTAATCTTCTTCAGCATTCTCAGCCCCTGAGCTTCATTGCTGCAGATTTTACCCACCCCTATTCATATCTGTGATTGGCCTTCTGTTTTCCTATTTAGGGATTTCAAGTGTTTGTAGGTCTGCCTGTAAATGATCTCTCCAGTCTTCTTGATCTACCTCATGCTCTGTTACCATTCATCTCTTTTGTTTATGCAGTCTTTGTTTTATCTCCCATCTTTCTGTATGATCCAGCCTTGCAGTGCATTACTTCTCATGATGCCAGTAATTATTGTGATTCAGTCAGGTTATGAATTTCGTTGTAGCTTCTCACTCTCTGCATTATCCACTGTTTGCATCTTTGATAGGTACAAAGATTTGATAGGTACAAAGATTTGATAGGTACAAAGATTTGATAGGTACAAAGATTTGATAGGTACAAAGATTTGATAGGTACAAAGATTTGATAGGTACAAAGATTTGATAGGTACAAAGATTTGATAGGTACAAGGATTTGATGGGTACAAGGATTTGATGGGTACAAAGATTTGATGGGTACAAAGATTTGATGGGTACAAAGATTTGATGGGTACAAAGATTTTATAGGTACAAAGATTACCTTAATTTTATTGTTTAAAAAATTTACTTTTGCTGTTTGAATTTCAACCGTTTGTTTTGTTTTCCAGGTGTTTCTCTGGCGTTGGTCGTGTTCATGATGCGTTTGATGCCTACCGACAGTCCATTGACAAATCGGAGGCAAATGCTGATACATGGTGCTCTATAGGGTAGGTTCTGGTTATAGTTGTGATCAACAAATTATATTGAACTAATTGGCACTCCTAGATACAGATGAAACAAACAGAGACAGGAGGACTCACTAGACAAGATCAAAATCGAAAGCTATAGTAAGCACACATTGAATCAAACCTGGTCATTTTCATTTATGATTCTTCAGCACTTAAAGTTAGTAAAAGAGTAGACCTAAATTCACAACAGTTCTGGCTTAATTCAAAAAGATACTGACAATAGAATACTGAATGTGTCTAGATTTGGCACTGTGGGCATGGAGGCAAGGCAAAGCCATTTCGTTAATGTCTCAAACATAGACAGGCTTTATTCCTGGTGGAGGGGTTACATGTTAGAAAGAAACTTTGAGGGAATAGCCGGTCATCGAGTGGTTTCACCAGCCACCAGATGAAATAACCAGACATACATAACTGGGACATAATGGGATGACATTGTAACATTTCAATATCATCTAATTTGATGGCATTGTATATTGTGAGGAGGTTTTTTGTTTTTGTCTCATGTGATGGCATTGTATAGTGTGACAACATATGTTTAACATTCTAACATCGTCTAATATGTTGTCATTGTATAATGTTCCAACATTGTGTAATGTGACAATATTGTGCGATTTAATATTTCTGAATGGTTCTGCAACATTATGCTATACGATGGCACTGTATGATATTCCAACATTATGTGACATATATATAATCTCACTGTATGATGTTCCAACATTGTGTGACATATATATAATCTCACTGTATGATATTCCAACATTGTGTGATTCAAGACATAACACTGTGTTCTAACATTGTCTGGCATGGTAGCATTGTATGTTGACTCATTATTGTCTGGTGTGATGACTTTGTATGATGTTCCAACATTGTATGATATTTGTTTGTATGTTATGTTAAACAACATAAGACAAGTAAAGTGCACACAAACCTGCAAACAGGTTAATACAAGATTCTTAGAATACCATAGATCTTTATGAAAATTAAAATACTGACATTCTACAAACTGGGAACATTGAGGAAAAGATAGTCAGCAGGAACTCATGAACTAACAACATGATGAATCCATGAAGAGACAGGAAATCGCCAGCGGATCAGCACTTTCTGGCTGGCTGTTTTTGCAGAGAATCTGTTACAGAAGTGTCGCGTGTGGATGTGGACTAGAACGCACCAGTACTGAGTGAGCAAATAAGAGGTCAAAACACTAGGTAATATCATTATGATTTTGTTGTTGTCAGAGAGTTGATGTTGACAGTCCAAAGGAGATGGACAAGTGGATCCTTGAGGAGGCTTTACCCCGGGACTCCACGGAAGCAGACGTATAAAGTTGGATCCTTGAGGACGTTTTACCCCGGGACTCCACTATAAACCTCAGCAGAAAGCTGGTATACTGTCACAGTTCGGCAGTTAGCCGGTATATTTATCTTACCTTGTTCAAGCTGCGAAAGATAAGATTAAGATGACTGTCGGGATCTCCAAGGTCGGACTGCAACCCGTCGTTTGTAATATGTCAGCTGACGTCGAGCGGTTTCTTGTGTTTGGATGAGTTTGGATGAGTTTGGATTATTCATTGCACATTTTCTCCTTCTGTTGATCATTGCTATTGTCAATACACAATGGAACCTTTAAAGAGAGTTATTGTTCAACTACGTTTGGAAGCTTTAACATTCATCATTTTCTGTTACACTTGGCCGGTGGCATATTAACCCTTTCGCTGCTACGTTCCCGGAAATAGTTGTCCTCCCTGTGCTAAGCAATGTGAAAAAAAAAAGTCTCTGCTGTGCGCAATACTTTTCTATCCTCTAAACGCAAAAGATGCGTCCGCGGTGAGGGCTATGTTTTGTACACCTAAAAAATTTTACCCTGGGGAGTTGTGTGGTTGGTCCGAGTGGTGACAAGTCAGAGGCACGATGGTGCCCCACAAACTTGACTAACGGAGCTATCACCCTTCGGGGTGGGGGGGGGGTATGGGGGAATTAATGGGACGAACTGTTTCCAGTCTGTATCCCAAAATTTGATTGACGAACCTACCACGGCTGCCACTTTAATCATATTTACTTATAGTCACCATGTTATTACATACCAAAATAATAATTAAAAAAAAAAATAATCATAATAATACTCAAGTCGTCCTTTGCTAAAAAGTAACAGGAACTCAAAGGAAAATTTACAATTAATTTAAAAAAAAAAAAAAAAAAAAAACTTCGGGGGTTGAACACACGACCCTCCGATTCTAAGGCGAACGTGATACCAATTACACTATGCAACCGCTTGATGCATTGCGCTGTGTAAATGATCATAATGAATGATGTGCGCAGACTATCAATAATGTGTCTAAGTTTGTAGTCTATCGCCGCCTGCATGAGCACTGTTGTCTAAGAAATGTTTGAGATTCTCAACAATAGTAAAAATATGTCCCTCGACATTATTTTACGGGAGTTTTTAGCAAACAGTCTTTGCTCAAGTACTCTATTTTGAGTTTCTTTGTTCTAAGCATTAGCAGACAGACAGAAAAAAAAAAATTAGTTCGTCCGAATCTGTGTCTGTCCATCGGGAAAGACGAGAAATTTTAGTGACTTAACTGTTTGAATTTACAGTAGCAGAAATATAGATAGAGCTGGAGTCATCAAAATCATGCACTACTGGTTTCAAATCATCGGTTCATCAAGACAACTGATCAATTTATTGCCGTTTTGATGCCGCTTCATTGTCACTGCTCTCTGATTCCGACATGAGGATGTCGGACAGGCAAACAGCTTTTTTTTGACACGCCGGTTTCAGCAGTCGATACTGATTGCCTAGTCAAATCTTCTTGTTCACTGTCAGAAGTACACATTTCAAAGTCATCGTCGCTATCACTTTTGACAGAAACTCCATCAATTCTTCATCAACTTTAACAAGTTTTCTTGCCATTTTGTACTAAGTGTAGAATAATCTAAAAGCACAAATATATATCAGGGCACAAAATACACAGATCACCGACCACGCTGTCACGGTAAACAAAGCAACGGGATAACGCAAAATGCAGTAAACACACCTTAAACACGCCTAAAAGTACGTGCAAGTGCTTTTAATCATATGTAAATGGGTCAGTTTTATTTAAATATAGCTAATGTATATTGCCCTTCAGTCAATAAAATACGAGGTAACAGAAATCTGTAAGAAAAGTCCAAAAACGGCTTAGGACGTCCATAGCACTGGGGGTCAAGAAAAAAAATAACGTCCAAAGACGGGCGTAGCAGCGCACGGGAAATCGGGAAAAGACGTCCATAGCAGCGAAAGGGTTAAGTTGTTGATGCCATTTGTTACATTGCGACGCTCTAATTCATCTTTGGTACCCCGCACATCAGCATGAAGCCTTTGCCACACGTCACAAGAAGGATAATCTTCAGTGTGTGATACCTTAGTTTGTGACTTAGTTAGTTGCAGTTACAACTTACGGCAACAAGACACCTCACAATTGCCCTGTTACTGTGCGAGTGATAGACATTACTACCAACGCCACAAGGCATGAACTGTAAGAATAAGAACCTGTATGCCATGGAGCATAATTGGCACAAAGAAACTAAACCACAATTAAATGTGGTAAATTATTTTTGTTTTGGTTTGCATAAATGGACAGTGGCCAGGGAGCAGTGATTAGCTGAGGGTACGAGCAGGTTGTTTAATAATCAAGATGTATGGTGATTTGACGCTGGTGTCTGATGAATGACATGTCTGAATGAAGTCTACATCTGGATCCAAGAAGTACTGCACAAGTCCAGATTTTTTGGCTTATTATTGTTACAGAATAATTGCACCAAGAATAATTATTGCCGTGAACCTGTGTAGTCGATTGGATGTCTGACCTTCTCAGACAATGGCCAGAAAAAATGTGTACATTAAAAATCATTTGGCGGGGTAAATCAAGTAGGGTAGGCTGAATTGATCACTGCTGCGAAAAAATGAGAAACTAGCAATAACAGAATAAATGAATCGTGTGATTTTGAAATATTAGGATTTTAGGTAGTGGTTTGGAGTTTGTGTACTGAGCTACAAATGGGAAAATCAGACCAGTAAGTTCCTTTAGAGTCAGAGTGCATCTGCCTGAAAAGCGAGGAACCAACAGTCTGCTTACAAAAAAGCCGGAACTGTAAAACAGATGGGCACACAAAAGTCAAGTTCTGGAGCAAGACTGTAGTCCAGAAATGGACAAACAACTACAGCTTTGCTCCAGTTTACAGCTGGTGAATATGAAGAAGAAGAAGGGCAGTTATGACAAATATCAACTATATCCAAGATGGTTCTTTAAGACAGGCATCTAATATGCACTTAAAATGATTGAATTCAACCTCAAAACCCTAGCAGAATGGAGTTTTCTATTTTAATTGACCCTGGCTGTATTGGTCAACCCAAATGGAAAATGTCATGTCATGGGTATTAAAGATGGTCAGCATGAAGAGTGCGGATTGGTCTTTAAAAATACGAGTCTCGACTAATACACTAGATGTGCCACAGGTGTGACATTTTTTTTTTATAAATCGGTCATTGCTTGTTAATTTGTGTGCAAGTGAACAAATATGTGTGTGTTTTTAATATGTATAAATGTGCACACACTCAGAAACAGCTTGCAGCTTAAACATGCTTGTTTATATTTGTAATTGTTATATTTAATCATAATGAACATTTTTGCAGTGTTATTTCTTGTTTGTGTGATGAATTGGATTACCCCGTTTTTATGCCAGATGCGGTCCGTGGATACTGTGTGATTTAAACAAAGAAAACTTGCCTCCTCCTAGACCAGGTTGTATCCTGCATTGGATCATTTCATTTTGAGTTCTTTGCCTTCTGGAGTCTTTTCCAAAGGAACATTATAGATACCTTATGTTACTCTTTGCCCCACTGACAAATTAACTGTTTGAAAGCCGCCAGGAGAATGCTCTTTTTTCTAAACCGCCCTCTGTGAGAACTGAACCCTGGTAATCATTGAGGATTGTATAATTAAATGATGTCACTAACCTCTACGCCACAGAACTGCACTAGCTGCCATTTAAATGTCTGTCTAAGATGTTGATGGATATTTTAATATTTAGCTGGTTTGAAATCTTGCTAGCAAAAACCAGCTACTATTGTCAAGAGTTCAGGTTTCCTGATGCAACCAGTTCATGAGAACCAGTATTGTAGCTGAAGAATCGTTTAGTATCCTCACTAGAATCATCTGTCTGCTTTCTTTGTTTAGTATTTCTAATGGTGTCTCACATCTTCCGTTGTTTCTTAGTTAATTTCCCTTTAAACAAATATATATAATTTAAAAGAAAAAAAATAAATCATTGCATAGTCTATCTGTAGTATGTATACCAGGCTGATGTCTCCAAGTCTTGATTGCATCATCTAACCTATCATGTCTGGCAAAATTCAGAGTTGAGAATCTTCCCAAAGTATTTCAGGATCCTCGCCGTTGCTACCGAGTTTGTGCACTGTGCTGAGATTCTTCTGACTCAGGCTTGAGTCAGAAATAGAACGGAGCAATTATGGGTTACTACTCCTTGTGCTATGATGTTGATCTAAACTCATGTCTGTAGTCCTCATGAATCAGCTGTTTGCTCAATTCTTGCTTAAGCATTCTTGATTGACTGATACCTTCAGTGTTTACTTGTACGCTTTTGGTCGTATGCTGCAAACCTCCTTCATTCTTGATTGAATTATATCCTTCATAATGGCTCATTAGTGAATCATCTGTTGTCTTATATTCTTATTTAGTTCTCATGGTCTAGCTTCTCATGTATTTCTTTAGTATCCTTGATAGAATCCTCTGTTTTCTGGTGTTGTTCTTTAGTGCATTTCATTGTAAGCTCATGGCCTCTTTTTCCTAAGATTCAGCTCTTATGTTCTTTGGTGCTCACGATTGAATGTTCTGTCTTCTGAAGACTTTCTTGTTTGTTCTTGATTGAATGATCTGTCTTCTGATGACTTTCTTGTTTGTTCTTGATTGAATGATCTGTCTTCTGATGACTTTCTTGTTTGTTCTTGATTGAATGATCTGTCTTCTGATGACTTTCTTGGGTGTTCTTGATTGAATGATCTGTCTTCTGATGACTTTCTTGGGTGTTCTTGATTGAATGATCTGTCTTCTGATGACTTTCTTGTTTGTTCTTGATTGAATGATCTGTCTTCTGATGACTTTCTTGTTTGTTCTTGATTGAATGATCTGTCTTCTGATGACTTTCTTGGGTGTTCTTGATTTGCTTATTTTATCTTCTCTTGCCCTCATGTAGGATTGCTAATATTATCTTATGTCCTCCTGATTAAATGTTCTATGTTCTCATGCCCTCCTTTAGTTCTCTTGATTGAATGATCTGTCCTCTCACATTTTCTTGTATTATACTTATTTGATGGTATATATTTTCATGTTTTCCTCTAATTTTCTTGATTGAATGTTCTAAAATACTCATGCCCTCCTGTAGGATTGCTGACTTTATGTTTAGTTTTAAATATCCTGTGATGGTTCTTGATTGAATGATCTATGTCATGTTTTCCTTCAGTTTTCTTGATTGATTGATCTGATCCTACTCAAGCTTTTCTTGTACGATTGTTGATTAGATGATAGTCTTATGCAGGGCCTGTCTTTTTGTTGCTTCTAAAAAAACAGTGTTGGCACTCACAACAAGGTATCTATTTAAAGGTGCTTGCACGGCACACACACACCACAAGTGCCTATTACAATAGTTCCCCCCACCCCCCTAACCCCCCCAAAAATAGGCCGTAACAAAAAAAGTCCAGTTGCTTTACCACTGGTGGTCCAGGAAAAAAAACAACCCACCATGGTTGTTATGTACCCAGCTTGATTGAATGATTGGGAGTCTGTCCTTTAGTTTGTCATTTCTTCTTTTGGTTGTCTCCACCTAGCCATGTTTCCTGTTAGCACCCAATTTACTGAGACTTTTGTGCTTGTTCTGCAGAGTGCTGTACCAGCAGCAGAATCAGCCGATGGATGCCCTTCAGGCCTACATCTGCGCTGTGCAACTGGACAAGTCACATTCTGCTGCTTGGGCCGACCTGGGTGTTCTCTATGAGACCTGCAACCAGCCCAACGATGCCCTTACCTGTTACCTAAACGCCACTAGAAATTCAGGTAGGTTTTAAGTGTTTGATACACTTACCTGTGGATGATTTCTTTATTTACCTTACCCTCCTCATTTTTCAGACCTCATAGTTCCTTTTAGAGTTGACCACTGGTATCCTACAGTGGCCCATTTATTTACTTGAATGGTGAATCATGACATTTTACACATGTGTCACGTCAGCATAGTGGCTAGACATCTGCCTGTCCACCGCAAAGGTCATGGGTTTGAATCTGCATCAAGGCAGATTTTTGTCCTCAAAATTGACCTTGGTTCCCAGCTCTACCTGGGCTAACATGGGGACAGCTGAGTATCACTTGATCTGTAAAAATGTGTCTAGCCTTATATACCTGATTAAAAAGGGCACATTACTTTATTAATTTATATAGTTAATTAGTTAGCACTTACCTCTTGTTTAATTGACTAGTTACATAATTGTACTGTTTTTTTAAAAAAACTAATGAATGGTTATGTAATTTATGTATGTTGTTTATTAAACAATAACACAAAGTGAATAGTTAGTCTGATTTGGCTAACCAGTGAATATTGAATTCACACAATCATCTTATAAAACTTTTGTTATCATTTGCAGAGTCCAACGCAAATTTGGCAGCAAAAATCAAGTTTTTACAGCAGAATCTGGCAACCATGCCACTTCATTTTCAGAACAAGTGAGTACTTTGTACGGAGCTGTGGTGTCAGAACTTTAGGGTTGGGGTGGGGTGGCGGCTGCGGCAGCCCTTGGAATACCTTCAGTCACCACCTTTCCCACTCCTTATAATGCATTTGTGAGAAGGGTAAACACCCCCCCCCCCCCCCCCCAATACACATTCATGTATAGAAGTTATCTGTTTACAGTTTTGTTTATGCTTATATTGTTTCAAATTTACTATTATACTGTGTTCCTAAACTGAGCACATTATTTTCATTATTATTATTGGGCACTTAAAGAAGACTTAGACCTCCACCCCATATAATGTGTAACCAGGTGCATTCTCCAGACCCCATGTTTTCTTTGTGTCACTGCCACTGGTACACAGGCATCTACTGTTGTTTTTGTAAAGTCTGACACAACTTTAAATTTTGAAAACATCCCAATGTTAATCTTTCAGCTCCGGATGTTCGTTCCCCCAACACTCTCAAAGTCAGAATTTGCATGCTTTAGAGCAGTGATTCACAAACTGTGTGCCACGTCACCCCGGGGAGCCGCGACCTCTTCAAAGGGGCGCCGCGAAATATTGTAAAAGCTTTTGTAATTAATTTAATCAAGACACAAAGAGTTATACTTTTACTTAGATAAGGGCGGTGTGGAAAAATTGTATTTAAAAAAAGGCACCGTGACTAAGAAAATTCGGGAAACACTGCTTTAGAGTAACAGTCTTTGAATCTAAGGAAATTAAATAATGCAAGTATTTTGAGTCAAGAATGCAAAGTAAAAGTTAAGATACAGTGGATAAGGATAACAGAATAGTAAAACAGAAGAAATGAAAAATGGTATGCCATTTGTAAAGTAATCATAAATCCTATAAGGCATTGCCTGGAACTGAAACAACTGCTGTAGTGTTGCATGATGTATTTACAAGCCAGCCAAAGTTCAAACTTTTGCTTCTCCATTTTCAGGGCACATCAAACATTGCCAAGTATAGAGGAGGCCTGGCGTCTGCCAATCCCGGCAGAGCTGACCTCTCGTCAGGGAAACTCAGGTCCTGCTGGCGGCCTGGCCTCAGGACGTGGAGCAGGTGGTCCCGGTCAGGACCAGGATTCGTCTCTTAGGGAGGATGCCAAGAAAAAGAAAGATAGGAAAAGGGTGAGTGAGGTGTAGTCTCAAACTCTTTTAAAACACTTCAGTCTTGGACTGTTTAAAAGAAGAAAATCAGGATTGGTTCACTTAAACTTTGATGTACAGTGTCCGCAGTATGCATGTCATATGAGCCCACAAACTCTTGACCACTTGCCCACTGCACTTACACATATGAAAAGAAATCTGGTCTTAAGAGGAAAGTGTGGGGAACAGACGAACCTTGTACCTGACCTATGAGCTCTCAGAGACTAAGGGTCTGACTTGAACATGCGGAACTTCCCAAGAAGAAGAAGAAATGTTGATCTGACATACTGAATATATATTTAGAATGTACTCGCATAACATATGGTAGTCTTCATTTAGATTGCTTGTGGCACTTCTGCTTTTCTTATGTCTTAGGTATCGTCATCATCATCATGTGCCCTGCCAATTGGCGTAGGCGCTCATGCATCTCCACAGATCACGATCCCTGGTTGCCTGGAGCAGCTTTCTTGATGATATACCTCCATGCCATCGTTTCAGTCCATCCAACATCATCTCTCTTGGTCTGCCTCTATGCCTCTTTCCACTGATCTTTCCAGCGGTCACAATGTTGCTTTCTGTATGGTTAGCTCTCCATACCCTATTGAAACCAACACAAGGCGGTCTGCTGCCAGATTGCCCACAGCTGGGATCAAACCAGGCACCACCACATAATTACAAAGTGTGTTTGCAGTGCCTAAGCCAGTTTGCTGCTTAAAAGCCACTATAGCATGTTGGTAAAGCAAAATCTATGAGGATTGGATTCACCTAGAGCAGCAATAACTGGCTCAACCTGTCAGTGACAAACTTTACTGGGTTGAACAGGAGTTGCCTAAGACCATCGGAAAACACGTACTCATTGAAGTTACGAAGGAAAAAGATAGTTTTGGGGTCGCCACAACATGAGAGAACTTTTTTAAAGGGTCGTGGCGTTAGGAAGATTGAGAGCCACTGACTCTAGAGGTGTCTGTCAGTTTTGCGGCTTCTTGAGGTGGCAGGATTAACTCACACACCTGTATAATGTTTTTTTTTTTCTTTTTTTTCACTTGAAGTTTTAACTTTCTTTTCCCCCCCCTCACCTTGGATCCCTCCTTCTAGCAATCCTCGGAGCCCATGGAAATGCCCCCTCCTCCGCCCCAGCCCCCGGCCGTGCTATCGCCCCAGCAGTATCACCTGATGGAGCGGTTGTCGAAGAATGAGTCCACCCTCAACCAGTCGCAGCAGCATCTCCTCCGGCAGCTGCAGCAGCAGCACAAGTTATCCCAGCAGTTTACCAAGGTTAGTGGACCTTGTGGGTCACCTGGTGGTCAAGGGATAACTTACTGGCTTACTGGTGTGAAATGTCAGGGTTCTTGAACCTATTTTGATCATCATCATGATTTTGAGGATAACATCCTTTGATTGCTGATTAATCTTCTTCTTCTTTGCGTTCACCAGCTGTAAAGTCTGGCAGAAAGTTCTGATTGTTCGTCCATTTCTGGACTGCAGCCCTGTTCCAGAACTTGAGTGTTGTGTGTGCATCCGTTTGACAGATCTGACTCATTTGAATGTAGACTGTTGTTTCTTTGCCTCTCAGGCTGATATACTCCGACTTTGAAGGAAGCTCCCAGTTAGTTGACTCTTACGACATGCTTTTGGGTAGGCAGTGGGTCTATTCTTGTTTTATATATCAGTAAGCTTTGTGACATAAAAGAGCCTTTTATATATATATATAAATAATTTTTCAAGATACAGAATTAGTGATTGTATTAAAGTGTTCACAACTACCAAATTCATTCTGTTAAAAGACCTCTCCAGATAGGAATATTAGTATCATAAGTATCATATGCATAAATTGGTAATCTTATGAGAACCTTGTCGGCTCTGTGGCTAAGTCGTTGCGAACGCTTCGTAATGCTGGGCTAACGGGTTCGATCCCAGCTGCGGGCCATGCGCCTTGCGTTGGTTTCGACAGTGGTATTAAGAAAGCCGACCATCCAGAAAGCAGTGGCAAACTACTGGAAGTAAATTTGCCTAGAAAAACCACACAACAGCCAGGGGTTGTTGGGGTTGGTTCTGCAACGTCCTGTAAAGGATACACAACTGAAGATGAGAACCTCATGTTTTGTTCGTTTTATTAGTCACCTGTAGGAGGACTTATGGTGCTCTGATGGAGATATGCTGTTTTATGAAAAGGGTCCTGTGTCCAGTTAAAAAAAAATTTACTTTCCCCGCTCTCAAATGAAGTCAGAATTCAGAATGTTAAGTGTAGGACCAGAAGAAATAAATAAAGATTTCAGTGAAACATTTTTTTAATTAAAGATATAAGGCTATTAAGAAATCCATACTAGAGGGAAAAGTTGAAGACAGGCAGACAAGAGATAGATGGTGATGCAAGTGGAAGAATAGTTCCAGGAGATGTAACAAACAGTAGTCAGAGAGAGTGTGTACAACCAAGGCAGGAGATGATGAATGTTAGATATATGTTGCAGTTCTACAGGTCTTCATTGTGTATATGACGATTGATTGATTGACTAAGGTCAAGTATATGACACTTGATTGATTGACTGAGGTCAAGTATATGACACTTGATTGATTGACTGAGGTCAAGTATATGACACTTGATTGATTGACTAAGGTCAAGTATATGACACTTGATTGATTGACTGAGGTCAAGTATATGACACTTGATTGATTGACTAAGGTCAAGTATATGACACTTGATTGATTGACTAAGGTCAAGTATATGACACTTGATTGATTGACTAAGGTCAAGTATATGACACTTGATTGATTGACTAAGGTCAAGTATATGACACTTGATTGATTGACTAAGGTCAAGTATATGACACTTGATTGATTGACTAAGGTCAAGTATATGACACTTGATTGATTGACTAAGGTCAAGTATATGACACTTGATTGATTGACTGAGGTCAAGTATATGACACTTGATTGATTGACTGAGGTCAAGTATATGACACTTGATTGATTGACTAAGGTCAAGTATATGACACTTGATTGATTGACTGAGGTCAAGTATATGACACTTGATTGATTGACTGAGGTCAAGTATATGACACTTGATTGATTGACTAAGGTCAAGTATATGACACTTGATTGATTGACTGAGGTCAAGTATATGACACTTGATTGATTGACTGAGGTCAAGTATATGACACTTGATTGATTGACTGAGGTCAAGTATATGACACTTGATTGATTGACTAAGGTCAAGTATATGACACTTGATTGATTGACTAAGGTCAAGTATATGACACTTGATTGATTGACTGAGGTCAAGTATATGACACTTGATTGATTGACTAAGGTCAAGTATATGACACTTGATTGATTGACTGAGGTCAAGTATATGACACTTGATTGATTGACTAAGGTCAAGTATATGACACTTGATTGATTGACTGAGGTCAAGTATATGACACTTGATTGATTGACTAAGGTCAAGTATATGACACTTGATTGATTGACTAAGGTCAAGTATATGACACTTGATTGATTGACTGAGGTCAAGTATATGACACTTGATTGATTGACTGAGGTCAAGTATATGACACTTGATTGATTGACTAAGGTCAAGTATATGACACTTGATTGATTGACTAAGGTCAAGTATATGACACTTGTTTGATTGACTGAGGTCAAGTATATGACACTTGATTGATTGACTAAGGTCAAGTATATGACACTTGATTGATTGACTGAGGTCAAGTATATGACACTTGATTGATTGACTGAGGTCAAGTATATGACACTTGATTGATTGACTGAGGTCAAGTATATGACACTTGATTGATTGACTAAGGTCAAGTATATGACACTTGATTGATTGACTGAGGTCAAGTATATGACACTTGATTGATTGACTGAGGTCAAGTATATGACACTTGATTGATTGACTAAGGTCAAGTATATGACACTTGATTGATTGACTGAGGTCAAGTATATGACACTTGATTGATTGACTAAGGTCAAGTATATGACACTTGATTGATTGACTAAGGTCAAGTATATGACACTTGATTGATTGACTGAGGTCAAGTATATGACACTTGATTGATTGACTAAGGTCAAGTATATGACACTTGATTGATTGACTGAGGTCAAGTATATGACACTTGATTGATTGACTAAGGTCAAGTATATGACACTTGATTGATTGACTGAGGTCAAGTATATGACACTTGATTGATTGACTGAGGTCAAGTATATGACACTTGATTGATTGACTAAGGTCAAGTATATGACACTTGATTGATTGACTGAGGTCAAGTATATGACACTTGATTGATTGACTGAGGTCAAGTATATGACACTTGATTGATTGACTGAGGTCAAGTATATGACACTTGATTGATTGACTAAGGTCAAGTATATGACACTTGATTGATTGACTAAGGTCAAGTATATGACACTTGATTGATTGACTGAGGTCAAGTATATGACACTTGATTGATTGACTGAGGTCAAGTATATGACACTTGATTGATTGACTGAGGTCAAGTATATGACACTTGATTGATTGACTGAGGTCAAGTATATGACACTTGATTGATTGACTGAGGTCATTGTTAAGATTGAGCTAAGTGTAGGCTGTGAGGTAATCACAGATCAGAATCAGTCAGTCGTTGGTGATCACAGTTCACAGTCAGCTGTAGTAAAAGTTGTTTACACTTTAGAACCAGCTGTAGTGAAAAAAGGTGAACACAGTTCAGTGTTTTGATACTGGTGATCACAGCTGAGCATCACCTGTAGTCAAAAGGTGAACACATTTCAGAATCAGCTGCAGGAAAAGACAGTCACACTGTCTGCTTCAGATATTATTCAGCTCTTCACTAGGATGTGTGGTGCTGTGCATGTCTGTGCCATCTTGTGAGACCAAATATATTTTTGCTATTTCTGGCTGGCTGCTGTTCAAGCTTTAAGTGTATCCATTGTTTCTCCTTTTGCCAGCAATACAGTGCTCTCAGCTCACAGACCAGGCCTGGGCAATTCAGTAAGTTTCATTTGTTGTTAATATTTTTTTGTTTCATGTGTAACTGATGATGACAAATGGAGAGGCAGGGGTGATGCTACAGTTAACTGATGGCACATGGATAGTTAACTGGGGACCCTGCAGTTAAAAGACAGTTAAATAGTGGCACAAAAAGGAAAAAAATGGGGATACTGTTGTTGAATAGTTACAACTAGTGGCACATGTAGGGAGAATGGGGACACTGGTTGAATAGTTACAACTAGTGGCACATGTAGGAGAATGGGGACACTGGTTGAATAGTTACAACTAGTGGCACATGTAGGGAGAATGGGGACACTGGTTGAATAGTTACAACTAGTGGCACATGTAGGGAGAATGGGGACACTGGTTGAATAGTTACAACTAGTGGCACATATAGGGAGAATGGGGACACTAGTTGAATAGTTAACTAGTGAAGCATGGGGACACTGTAGTTGAATAGTTAACTAGTGTGACACATAGAGGAAACATGTGGACACTGTAGACACACAGAGGGAAAATGGTGACACTTCAGTTTAACTGAAATGGTGCACAGAGGGAAAATGGTGGCACTTCAGTTTAACTGAAACAGTGCACAGAGGGAAAATCGTGACACTTCAGTTTAACTGAAACGGTGCACAGAGGGAAAATGGTGACACTTCAGTTTAACTGAAACGGTGCACAGAGGAAAAATGGTGACACTTCAGTTAACTGAAACGGAGCACAGAGGGAAAATGGTGACACTTCAGTTTAACTGAAACGGTGCACAGGGGGAAAATGGTGACACTTCAGTTAACTGAAACGGAGCACAGAGGGAAAATGGTGACACTTCAGTTTAACTGAAACGGTGCACAGAGGGAAAAGTGACACTTCAATTAACTGATGACACAAAGGGAAAAAAAAATTGTGATAGTATAGTTACATGCAATACACAAAACTTTCTGCTATATCATATTTTTTAGTTCTTTGAAACAATTAGTAACTGATATATAACTGATAATATATAACTTATATATTTTCTTTAAATTTGCTGTGTGAAATTTCTAAACTAGATAAGTTTAGCTATCATTAAGTAATTTGGACAACTATTTTGAAGTGTCTTCTCTACTTCTGTGTATTTTCTGCCAGTGGAGCTTAGGCCTCAACCAAATCACGCCAAGCTCTTTGTTGCCCTGTTCAGCATTTAGATGTTTCAGCAAGTCTTCTAGTGGATGAGATATGGGCCTGGTAACGGAGGACCTCTTTCAGGATTTGCAGTGACCGGAACTAGGCGAATGTACAGGTGGCAGGGAAGGCAGCTTGGTCACCCTATTCCATTATTCCATGTCCAGAGTGTGTTTCAGTCTTGCACTTCCCAATCTAGATCAACTCAGTCCATTGGTGTTTTGTCCATCTTCAAATAACCACCATAGCTTCAGAGTTGCTATCGAAATGTAAAAATTGCATAAATATTTCCATACTTTATTGTTCTGTTTGATGTATCATCATCATCGATTTCCATTTTTGCCAGTAAGCAACGGATGGAAGAACTTTTGCTATCCATTAAGAACAAACTGTATTATCAGAGGGTCACAAATTGGGCACACAGGCCCGTCTGACATTCAGCCGTTCCAAACACCCATCCTCCACTCTATGGGTAGCACTGGCTGTTGTGGGTTCTGCGAGAATGTAGAATTTCTTTAATGCCATCCTTGAGCGCCATCTTCCTGTCACATCAGATCTTTTTAGGTGTAGTCCCGTGTTGGAAGTTGTTGTGGCTGCAATCTGGTGAGACGACCAAACCATTTGATCTTATTCTGAATTTGATCCAAGCTGTTGTTCCCACAGTATGTCTGATAGTATCAATTATAATCCGTCAGTTTGGAATTGTTAACGTTGGCAGCTTTCCTCAGACATCTTATCTTACATTTATTGATTTGATCTAGATAGGTCTTTCAAGGGCATAGAAATAAAGGAAGACCAAACCATTTGATCTTATTCTGAATTTGATCCAAGCTGTTGTTCCCACAGTATGTCTGATAGTATCAATTATAATCCTTCAGTTTGGAATTGTTAACGTTGGCAGCTTTCCTCAGACATCTTATCTTACATTTATTGATTTGATCTAGATAGGTCTTTCAAGGGCATAGAAATAAAGGAAGACCAAAAAACAAAACAAAAACATTTAGGGAGCTAAAGAGTGAAGTTAAAAAGATTTGGAGGACATGGGGTGAGCTGCATGCGATAGCGAAAGATGGAACAACTTGACGTGAGTTGGTGGAGGGCTTATGCTTCATTTGGGGATAAAATGCCAGAGAAGATGGTGTGCCTTTAATAATGTCCATGTCTGGTACCTGTAGCACAATGTTGGTATGAATATGCTGTCTATAATCGGTTTGTTGGCCATCATACTGAAATGTGGGTGTCTTTAAAGCGGCATCTGTGGCTTAGGCGTTGCGAATGCACTTTGTAATGATGGGTCTTGTGTTCGTTTTGACAGTGGTATTGAGAAACCAACCGTCCAGAAAGCAGTGGCAAACTGCTGAAAGTAAATTTGCCTAGAAAAACCACAACACCCACACACACACACAAAAAAAATGTTGGGGTTAATTCTGCAATATCCTGTAAAGGATACGCAACTAACTGATTAACGTAATAGCGGTGTCAGGTGGTATGTAAGTGTACAGTGATGTTTATTTTTCCAGATTATCCACTAATATGTTGCTAAATACATGTTTTTTATCCCCATCAGGCGGATCATCTCTTCCCTCCTCAGGACTCTCTCCTTTAGGACTCGGCAGTCTACCAGGTGTGCCTTCTACGACCCCTCAGCAAGGGATGGCAGGCAATTTCATGGCTTCAGTGGAGCCGACTCCCTCAAAGCTTTTAGATGAGAAGTTTCCATTCTCATCTCAAGATATCGCCATAGCAGAGGACGTTCTAGCTCAAATGGCAGGGGATCACAAAGGGAGCTCACTTTCATCATTATCATCCCCGTTTAGGAGTTCCGATCAAAGCTTGGGCCTGTCTATGAGTGACTGTCCGACTTCATCCCATTTACATCCATCCACCTCATCGACATTATCGCTCGATCATTTTCAAGGCAGCAAAGACTCTATCCCCTGTAGCAGTAACACAGGGGCGTTGAGCAGCATCAGCAATGGCAGTAACAGCAGCAGCACCAACAGCGGAAACAGCAGCATCCAGGGGAGAATAACCCCCAGTGGCCAAGGGCGGGCAACCCCCAGCTCTGCTTCAGTACATTCCTCTTCTCCGCAGGGCTCAACCCGCGGGGATGCTGAGAGCAATAATGACGAAGACGACGATGACCACAAGGACAGCAAGTATTCAAAGGACATCTTCACAGTGTCAGCCACCAAGGAGTTGAGTCTTGTCCTCAAACGAAGCTCCGTGGATGCATCGCTTTTACAGAAAGAGGTGAAACCGTCAACGGTTGCCTTGGACATCAACATGAGTGGCTCAAAGATTGTGGAGCAGAGCAAAGGTCAAGGACTTATCCATCGCAGTCTCAGCAGCATCCTCGGGGAGGACCATGCTCCGCCACAGCCACCATCTGCACCTTACCCTCCATTGCCAAAGGATTGCCTTAATCCGCCTACTCCTAGTGTTTATGTAAGTACTGAAAAATCATTCTCTTTAAGAACACTTTACTTGTCTTGTGGTTCTTTTATCATGTCATGTAAGGATGAACCTACAACAGGTCCAGCAAACTGCTATTGAATCTTAAGTTATGACAGCTTCACGGTGAAGGTTAATTACTGTATACCCACTGTTGTCTTTCAGAATATTATGTGGTGAGCCCCAGTTGTTTTTCTACGGCACAGCTTTCACACCTTGGTCTAAAAACCACATGAAAGCTGTTTAAGAAAAACATTAGTACTTTTCCAGTATCTCCCTCCAAACATGGGAATTCCACAGGTCATGGGACAGCCTAATATTTCAGGGGGTGGTAGATGAATCATATAGTTAGTAATTTGTCATTTCACTTGTGCAGTTTTGTGCTGGGCAAAGTTCGCTTCTTGTGTTGTGTTCTTGGTGTGCATTTTTCTGTGTGTTGGTGCAATTGGGAGGAATGTTAATCTCCTCAGTCACAGAGCCATGGTAGGTCATTTATATTAGTGTTATTGCTCGAAAGGTTTATGGTAAATTCAACGGATCAACATCATAGCACACGGGTGTCACCCATAAGTGCTCCATTCAACTTCTAACTCATGCCTGAGTTGGAAGAATCTCAGTGCAGCACACGAACTCTGTAGCACCAGCGAGGATCCTGAAATTCTTTGGGTAGATTTTCAACTCAATATTTTAGTCAGGCAGCACTGTTAGACCATTCTTTTTTTTATTTCCAACTGCCGGGGTAGTTTTTACGTTCGCAACAATACACACAGGCGTCCGGTCTTACTGCCCAGAGACCAGGGAAAATACTAGAAGTTCATGTGAACAAAATCTCAGCCTTCACCGGGGCTTGAACCCGGGACCTCCAGTATTCAAAGTGGTTGCCATACCTTGAGACCATTTAGCCCCCCCCCCCCCCCCCCCCACAACCCCAAATAATTGCTCAAGACTTAGACTGGAAAAGCATGATGCTGGCAGCACTCAAACGATGGTCAGTGCCACCCGGTGAGCGCTAGACCACAAACTCTCTTCACGACATGCTTAGGGGCATAAGTGGAAGTTTTTGAGGATAGTGGTGACTTAAGGCTTATCATTTGAGATCAGTAGTTAGGGGACAAATGAAACCATTGTTGAAGTTGCCACTCCTCCCTCTCTCCAGACAATAATATTAGGCTGTGAGGGGGCATGGGACACAACCCATGGCAAATTAAGGCCAAAGATAAAGTTCCTCCTCCCCATAGCACAGATTGAATGTTGAACTAAGAATTGACATAACATCAGGACACCCCCATAAGCGCTCTGTCCCTATCATCAACAGCAAATGAAGAGTTTCAATTCCGATGGCACCAGTAACTGTCCGATTGTGTGTCCGTCTTGCCATTCCCTTGAGTGTTGAGCATCAGCCATATTCCAGAGGACAATCACAAGGTCTAGCTTGTCAGTTCATCACCAAGTGGTACAGAACCGCCCAGTCTATTTACCTGCTTATTTCTCAACACACCGGCATAACCTTGAGAGAATATCCAAAGGGTACTAACTACCCAGGACCTCTGAAGTCATGCTTGCCATTTTGCACAGAGCATACCTGTCTCCACCTTTCTCAACATGTGTTGAGGCATGTGTGTACAGCTGACTCTCAGACTAGCGGAAGGCAGCAGTGACTGCCTCCACCTCTGTTCTCAAGCTAGACGTTGTGATATCATATGCCAAGCTTTGTTGCACTAAGCGACGTCCATTTGCCTTTCCTACGAACCTCTATGCACTTTGTCTGCCCCTCAACACAGAGCCATCTGTACAGCTAATCACATCACTTGGGTGGGAACTGTTATGAAATCGTTTGTTGAACTTCTGATTCTGCAGGGCCAGCTGGCCAGTCCCTGCACTCATGACCCAAAGTGCATTATGAGACCATTATTACACAGTTAAATAAGCACATATGATTTCTGATTTAAGGGTCAAAATCTACACATCCTTGCACTCTTTCTTACACAAATTATTTCATCTGACCTTGGGTCTTTTATCAGCATATGTTTATTAATGGTCTTTAGTACAACTATCTTTGAGCAATAGTATCATCTGAAGTAAGATTTTGTAGCATTTATGAAGAGTTGCCATAGCAAAGGTTAGTGTTTTGTAGGACAGGAAACATACTAGTAGAACGCCTTCAGTTGTAGTAAGCACATTGGGCACATTAAGCAGTGTTAGACCTATATTTTATAGACTATCTGCACTTGGTGGGTGATGTGGTCAGTATTGTGCTGGCTGCCTTTACTTCCCAGGAATTTACCTAGTACCTATTTAGGGCTGGGTCAATCTGGAAGCCAAGGTAATTTCATTCATACCTTTTTAATTAATAGTATCTTTTTCAAAAAGTGCGTGTTTCTTGTCATGCTGTCATGTTTGGTACTGGTAGATGGAACCTATCCTAATTATCGATTCATGCAGCCAGACATGCATAACTGAGAAAGGGATCAAAGGCACTTGACTAACTCAGGCCAATTCGTCTGTAGATTTGTTCATAGTTGGCCAAAATTGGCAGCCAAAGTTCTCTGCAGTGCCAGGCAGCTAAGTTTACAGGATGAGGCAGCCAGTTCTATGCCAACCCTTTTAAGTCTCTTCTTAGAAGACTTCATGATCGGTTACAGCCAGATTCTTTGTCACAATCAAAAGACAGCAAGCCAAATGGTTTGCTCACTTAGACAGAATACCCTGTGATGCCATACCATGCAGTCAAAAAGTAAAGATCCTTTTTTACGCCTCTCGGCGCATTGGGCATATGGGAAGGGCACCCATATTTCTACAGATGTGGGTAATGTGGTCAGTATTACGCCGGCCATCTTTACTTCCCAAGGACATACATCCTGGTACCCCTTTTAGGCAAGGTCGACACGACATCCTGGTACCCGTTTTAGGCAAGGTCGACCCGCGATGACCCATACCATGATACAAATGCACGCATACCCTGCCGGGCTTACACCAAAAGAGGACCTAGCTCATGAGGCAGACCAAGAACAACATGGAAAGATAACATCAGAGAAAATCTACAACAGTACGATGTGTCTATGTTGAGGTTGTAAGAAGTACAAGAAGCAGAACCTTATGGTCTCCCTCAACACCCGAAGCGGTAAAAGAGGAAGTGAAACAGAAGAATCAAGGGATCAAATAAGGAAATGACTACAGTACATTGTAATGTAGAGACTTCTGTGCAGGTAGTTTCTGTAAGGGAGAATGACTGTTTTCTGTGATGATGGCTGAATTTATTCATTGTAAAAAAATTATATGATTTAATTTGATTCAAGAACCATCACAGCACTTGAGGCATTCCCATATGTGCTCCGTCCCCATCTTCAGCAGCCAGTGAAGAGTTCCGATACTAATGGTGCCAGTAGCATTCTAATTAAACGTCCGTCTTGCCTTTCCTATGAGCCTCGAGCATCTGCCAGAACCTCTCTCACTCCTCGCTGCATCAAGCTCACCAGACTGTGGTGATCCATCTGCTCCTCCGCACTGTACACGCTCTCCCACAAGGCACTATTCACATCTGCCTTATCATGTTGTGTCAAAAAATATTTGTTAATGTTATCTCTGCTGGACTCCAAACACCTGACTGATAGGTAAGGTGCCTTCCAACTGATCACACATTCCATTAGCAGTTATTGAACTTGGTGGCAGTTAAAGGACAATCCTATGTTATTTAAAAACTAAAAGGATCACAATACCTTTAGACTTCCATTTCCATGGTCAGTCTTGACTTCCATTGGTGAGATACACATTGCAACAAAAGGCAGTGAGATACACATTGCAACAAAAGGCAGTGAGATACACATTGCAACAAAAGGCAGTGAGGTTCACATTGCAACAAAAGGCAGTGAGATACACATTGCAACAAAAAAGCAGGGAGATACACATTGCAACAAAAGGCAGGGAGATACACATTGCAACAAAAGGCAGGGAGATACACATTGCAACAAAAGGCAGTGAGATACACATTGCAACAAAAGGCGGTGAGATACACATTGCAACAAAAGGCGGTGAGATACACATTGCAACAAAAGGCAGTGAGATAAGTATTTCTTTTGAAAGGATTCATGTTTTCAGCTTTATTGTTTGGTGATGTGAATACAACAAAGACAGCAAGTAAAATGGTTTGCCCACTTAGAGAGAATGCCTTGTGACACCATACCATACAAAGCATACATGGGAAGAGAAGAAGGACGTAGAGCACGGGGTAGACCAAAAACAAGATGGAAGGATAACATCAGAGAAACTCTACAACAGCACGATGTGCCTATGGTCGAGGCAGCCAGAAGAGCTAGAAACAGAACCTTATATCTCCCTCGACACCCACAGCGGTAAAAGAGGAAGTGAAGAAGAAGAAGATGTGAATATGCGCGGTTGAGGTGCACCCGAGATTTAACCAAATATGCCAGCACGATCAACTCGGTATAATATATTGCCTGTATCCTCATAATTTACATCTTTCTCAAACCACAGCTGGATAACAGAAAAGACGCATTCTCCATCCAACTGCAGCAGTTTTGTCATCAGCAGGCGGTTGTCGTCATACGAGGGATAGCTGGTGCACTAAAGCTAGGTGAGTAGACTGTTCTGTCTCTAAGGGTCCAATTGGAGGAGGTATGTGGTTGAGTCTCAGGCAGAGAATTCTGGGCTGAAAGAGTGGAGAGCTCTCCAGCCAGACTTTAGTTTTTTTTTTCCTTCTCTTGTGAAGAAGGGAACAGTTGATAATGCCAGGTTTAATTACAGTGCTTTCCCTTGTGGGTTTTAAAGCAAACATTCGGGAGGGAAAGGGGGGGGGGGGGAGAATGTCTTACTTCCCCTTAACTCTTTTATCAAAGAACACATCATATGTTGATTTATAACTAGTTTAACTATGCTGTGATTAGGAAAGAGTAACAAAGCCTGTCATTCTTCTTCTTATAGTCCACTTGATTCTGACTCAGCATGGCATTGAAGGCCACTATTAAGGTTTTGCTGAAATATAATTTGTTGAGCTGAAAGACACAGATAAACCATGCACAACATAAAGTGCCAGTCCCAGGGCAAACTCAGACTAAGCAGAATGCATTTCTACTATTTTAATTCATAAATTTTGTTATTTGATAGAAGATACTTGCTCTCTATTGTGGGTACCTAGAACTTCTTTGGATTCAGCACACTTTTATGAAATGGCATCCAAAGATTTTGCTTGTTCTCAGAACAAAAGCGAGTAGGAAGGTAATTAGTTCACCACATTATTCTTTAACCTACTGGTTCTCAACTTTCCCAATGCTGCGACCCTTTAAAAGAGTTTCTTATTTTGTGGCGACCCTATAATACAGTTCCTCTTGTTGTGGCAACCCCCAATCATTACTACTAAATAACTTTAATCAGTATGTTTTCCAATACTCTTAGGCGACCCTTGTGAAATGGTCGTCGACCCACAGGTTGAGAACAGATGCTTTAACCTGTTGTATGGGAAACTGCAGCACTTCAGATGTTTGTGGCAAGCAGTATCTACCTGTGCAGTTATTACTCACTGGTTACGGTGCATGGGCTGTCATGCCAGAGACAGACCTGGGTTCAATCCTTGATAAGGGGATTTTTTATTTTGAGGGTGAACATAAACATTGTATCCTGCACAGTTTGTGGTGACTGCACTGGCCATGTGGCTTAACCCTTTCACTCTGGTGACACTAGAAAAATGAGTCATGACCCTGTGGGAATTCTCAAAAGAAATCCATTAAAAACAACTATTTTACCCAGGTCACTAAGAAATTATTTTTCGTTTTATTTCTATTAAAATGTTTTTTTCTTCAAAATATATAAAGGTGCTTAAAAGATGTAATCCAGTAAACATGCAACAGAATTAATGAAGCATTAAATGGAATTCATTTCCTAGGGTCTTTAAAAAAAGCGTGTGTGTGTGTGTGTGTGTGTGTGTGTGTGTGACTGATGCTGCGACCCAGCGAACTTTTGTCACTGAAGCTTACGAGGAAATTTGACGTCCACTGGCCTTTGAAAACACCATTTGGTTTAAAGGAAAACCCACTAAATGCTATTTTTATTTAATATATTACATCCTGATCTTAGGGGCTTGCATGGTCCTGCAGTATGGTATCCGCCTCGGTTAAAGACCCTGGTTAAAGCTGGGATTTTTTCACTTGGACTTCTGGGTAGTAAGACCGGACGCTCGTGTATGTTGTTGTGCACTTAAAAATCATAAAGAGTAGCCTAACAGCGCTGCCTTGGCAAAATTTGGAGATAAAAAAATCTACCCAGTGTTTCAAAAGCTTCGCCGGTGCTATGGAGTTCTTGCACTGCGCTGAGATTCTTCAGACTAAGGCTTAAGTAAGAAGTAGAACAAAGCATTTATGGGTTACTACCCTTGTGACAAAAAAGTTGATCTGTCGACTAAACCAAACTAAACATCCTGATCTCATAAACATTTGCACAGACATGAACTCAGCCAGCAATAGTGTTAACTATGTGTCTCATAAACAGGTCACTATAGACAAGTCAGAAAAGTGACATTCAAGGGGAATTGGTTCCAACCGAAATGATGATTTTGCAGGTTCTCGGGGCAGTAGGGTTAAATCTTTAAGAGAGACTTCATTGCCCTAAAAAGTAATTATGCAGGCAATAATGACAGTTAAGGACCTTTTTTATTATTATTTGTAGCATCAAAATATTTCTGCTAAATCATATTTCTTACAATCTGCGACATTTCTCCCACAGATTTGGGCCTTTTTTCCACCAAATCTTTGGTTGAGGCTAACCCAGACCACCCGGTTGAAGTCCGATCACAAGTAAGTTTTCGTTTCTGGCTAGCACTCTTGCCTGCTAGCCCTAGTGCTTGTAGGTTCGGTTTACCATCAAGATGGATTTGTAAAAGTTTTCGGGACGACCTGGTGAATTTAGCCTACACAGGGCTGCTACAAACTTTTTTGGGAAGTAAAGGTAGACACCTCACCTGCTGAGTTGAATGCCAGTCCACTTAGACAAATCAGGGCTGACACTAATTGCTCAGGGTGTGAAAATACCTTATAAAATTTTTTTTTTAAATCTTGCGAACACTGATAAGCACATCTGTCGGTGCCAGCATTGACCACCCACATCTGTCTGCTTTCATTGACCACCCATATTTGTCTGCTTTCATTGACCACGCACATTTGTCTGCTTTAATTGACCACCCACATCTGTCTGCTTTCATTGACCACCCATATCTGTCTGCTTTCATTGACCACCCATATCTGTCTGCTTTCATTGACCACCCATATCTGTCTGCTTTCATTGACCATTCACATCTGTCTGCTTTCATTGACCATTCACATCTGTCTGCTTTCATTGACCACCCATATCTGTCTGCTTTCATTGACCACGCACATCTGTCTGCTTTAATTGACCACGCACATCTGTCTGCTTTAATTGACTACGCTCATCTGCCTGCTTTCATTGACCACCCACATCTGTCTGCTTTCATTGACCACCCATATCTGTCTGCTTTCATTGACCACTCACATCTGTCTGCTTTCATTGACCACTCACATCTGTCTGCTTTCATTGACCACTCATATCTGTCTGCTTTCATTGACCACTCACATCTGCTTCCATTGACCACCCATATCTGTCTGCTTTCATTGACCATTCACATCTGTCTGCTTTCATTGATCACCCATAGCTGTCTGTTTTGATTGACCAACCACATCTGTGTGCTTTCATTGACCACCCACATGTCTGCTTTCATTGACCACCCACATCTGTGTGCTTTCATTGACCACCCACATCTGTGTGCTTTCATTGACCACCCACATCTGTGTGCTTTCATTGACCACCCACATGTCTGCTTTCATTGACCACCCACATGTCTGCTTTCTTTGGCCACCCACATGTCTGCTTTCTTTGGCCACCCACATGTCTGCTTTCATTGACCACCCACATGTCTGCTTTCATTGACCACCCACATGTCTGCTTTCATTGACCACCCACATGTGTGCTTTCATTGACCACCCACATGTCTGCTTTCATTGACCACCCACATCTGGGTTTACACTGACAACACATCTGTCTGCGAAACTAACATTTGGAAAGAGGTCTTAAGTTAAAGAAACAAAAAGGGATGTCTAAGTCTAGGAACTAACATATGAAAAGAAGTATTAAGTTCAACAACACAGGAAGTAAAGTCTAAGTCCAGGAATTTACGCATGAAAGAGGTCCACGTCTAGGAACTAACTCCTGATAGGAGGTCTTAGACCAAAAACTAACACATGAAAGGAGGTTTTAGACTAGGAACTAACACATGAAGAGAGGTCTAAGTCCAGGAACTAAAATATGGAGGAGGTCTAAGTCTACGAACTAACATGAAGGAAGGTCCAGGTCCAGGAACTAACACATGAAGGAAGGTCTCAGTTAAGGAACTAGCATGTGAAGGGAGATCTTAAGTCTAGGAACTAACTCATGAGGGGAGGTAAAAGTCCAGGAACTAACTGCCAGCATTTTCCACGTTACAGAAGCAGCAAGCACCGGACGAGAACTTTGACTCTGCTGGTAAACGTCTGTGGTATTGTGACAGCACGCGGGGAGTAACCACCGTAGCAAAATATGCACAGTACCAAGCCTCATCATTTCAGGAATCTTTAAGGGTAAGTGATGCTAAATGTGAGAGCAGAGATTGGTAAACTATGAGATGCTATTTGGACAGCTCAGACATTTTATTTTGTGTAATAAATATTATAATAGAAGCTATGTGATAGGGCAGTCACCAGCATGCTTGTCTGTCGTCAGCCTGTTGGTCAGAAATGTTGAATTCATTGATGTAGCATAGTTTTTAATTTACCTTGGCTCCCAAGTAATCTAGCCTAAAATGGGCGTCAGAAATGTCCATGGCAAGACAGTTAGGATGATGCTGACCCAGTCTTCATGTACTGATTGTTCTTTAAGGTATACATGGATAGCACTATTTTGATTCCCGCTGGGACTCGCTGCAGCTAACGGTCAGTGTTTGAAACTGGGCAGCTCCCGGGGTTCACGCAGCCTCTAGGAAATGGGTACCAGAGTGATACTCTGGGGTAAATGGAGGAACGTCGCTGTAGCCACAGTTATGTGCGGACGGCGACACAGGCGGGCAATTCTTATCAGCTGTCCGTACTGGTCGCAGAGCACTTATGGTTTATAACTGTGTGCAATGATGCTGGTTCACATCTCTTGACTTAACCTTTTTTACCTTTACTATTTGTTTGATGTGTTTTCAGGCAAGAAAAAGCATCTTACTTTATTGACTATTTCTGAGTAAATATGTAAATGCTGAAATTGTGTTCAGTTGAGATAAGAACCTTCTTATTCTTCTTCCTCCTCCTCCTCCTTCTCCTCCTCCTCATGTTCACTGGCAGTACAAGTAAACTCTGGTGGAAGTTCTGGTTGTTCGTCCACTTCCTAACTTTGGTCTTACTCCAGAACTTGAGTTTTGTTTGCACATCTGGCTTTTTCATATGCAGACTGTTGGTTCCTTGCCACTCAGGCAGATGTACTCCGACTTTGAAGGAAACACCCCTAATTAGTCACTTACGATATGATTGTTGTAGTAAAAAGGGGGGGGGGCGGGGTTGTGGTCGGTCTATTCTTTTTTCCTTGTAAAATCACAGCACTTTGTCTCTTCCCATAAGCACACCATTTCTATCTTCAGTAGCTAGTGCAAAAAAATTTTTGTAATAAATGGAGAGTATGAGAAATGTCAGCATTGGCTCACTGCAGAACATTTTGATAATACATTGACTGAGATATCTACACCTGATTTATTGCTGCGTGGTCTCGAGGTATGGCCTCCGCCTAAGGTGCTGGAGGTTCAGGGTTCAGGCCCCGGTGAAGGCTGGGATTTTTTCACGTGAACTTCTAGTAATTTCCCCTGGTCTCTGGGTAATGAGATTGGACACCCGTGTGTATTGTTGGGCACGTAAACAAATCACTTGGCAGTTGGAAATTGAAAAGAATAGCCTTTTGTTGTTGCCCGGGCAAAAATTTGAGTTAAAAATCTACCCAAAGTAATTCAGAATCCTCGCCGGTGCTATGGAGTTTGTGCACTGTGCTGAGATTCTTTGGACTCGGACTTGAGTCAGAAGTAAAAGAAGCACTTATGGGTTACCCCCTTGTGCCATAATGTTGATCCTTCATCTGAACCTAAATTCTACAGCGTGTGAGCATAGACACAAAAAACACATGCATTTAAAAAAAAGAAAAGATAATGAATATTTGTTTTATTTTCTTAAGACAGTCAAGGATGATTGCAAAGCACATATTGATATACATGTGGAAAGTGTAAAAGATTGCATATACACATTATCAGGTGTTATTTGTCACTTATTTTCTGCAAAAAAAAAACACAAATTTTGGGTTTAAATTGGTGTGGTTTCATAATTTTAAAAATTTTAAAAATATAAAAATAAAGCCAGAATAAACTGTATGAGATCTTCTATAGCAGAACATCTGGGTGGAAGGTGAGAGGAAGACCAAGAAAGAAGTGGAAATATGGTCAAGCTGACACCTGGGGGGGGGGGGGGGGGGGGGGGGGGGGGGCAAAACTATTGCTCAAGCCTCTAGAGATGTGTAAGACAATGTAGAAAACCCTGACACTTGGATACAGCCTGCTAACAGTGTGACAATAAAAGAAGAAGAAGACAGTTGATTACATATAGTGCACTGTATGGTACTGAAAGAGTGAAAATGTGTGTGTATTTTTTGTTTTAAATGTTTTATTATATGAACATTTCCACTGATAGGAAGAGCAAGAAAAGTCTAAAGGAACAGTGAAGGAGTCAGATAGTGACTCAAACCTGTCAATGACCTCCAAGAAGTAAGCTGTGGATGCTGTGTCAGTTTGTTTCTGTTGTGCACTTTTATATTTGTGTTTGTTTTCTGGTCCTACTAGTTGTAATTCTGGTGTTTGTAGCTGCAGTTGTGTACTTATAGTACTTACTGGTATTTTAGCAGTAGTTATGATTAGACTGTGTTTATACACTAGAACCCACTGCGGCATAGAAGTGAGGGCAGATCCATAGCAGTTAATACTAGAAAGTCTTTACACTAGAACCCACAGGGGCATAGATGTAAGGAAATAAGGGCAGGACTCCCCCCTTCGAATAAAGAAAAAACAAGAACTAGAGAATGAAATTTTAAAATATAAATAAAAATGGGGAGGACATGAGGTCAGCTGCATGCAATTTCAAAGGATAGGATGACGTGACAGGAATTGGTTGAGGACATGTTCTGTTAGGGCATAAAGAGCAGAAATAAGAAATATTCTAATAACACCGTTGTCATGTTTTTTGGCAAGCATATACAAGTTAAACTGTGTTTTATCAGTTTCCTATGCAGCAAGCCTGTGTTTATATATAACCTGGGTTCCATCCTCCTCCCGCCATCCACCCCCCTTTTTTAGGGCGGGCAGGAAGACCACTCCTCCCTAGCAAGCATGTTGTTAAAGGTGAATAAGGATTTGCTGAAATTAAGCATGTTGGGCTGAGAGGCACAGATACCGCAGCCTAGCTGTAAACCACAACACATGTGATCCCCCATTTTAAGGGGGATTTTTTTTTTTTTTTAAACCATGTGAACAATTTGTTGTGGTTCTGTCAACAGAAAGAGGTTTAAGATGATCAAGTTTGGCACCAATGTTGACCTGTCAGACGAGAAGAAGTGGCGGACACAGCTGCATGAGCTGACCAAGTTACCGTCCTTCTGCCGAGTGGTGTCTGGCAACAACATGCTGAGCCACGTGGGCCACACCATCCTGGGCATGAACACTGTGCAGTTGTACATGAAGGTGCCAGGTTCGAGAACTCCAGGTAGTGGTTTTGATTGTGTCGTATTGAGAAAAATTATGGTCGTTTGACTTTCTTGTGCACGGTCTAATTAGGGGCCATCTGGCTCTGGGGGGACTCTTTTTGCCAATGATGGATAAACTACGGCTGCTAGTATATTTTTTTATTTAATTCCAGATATAATTTTGTTAAATATAACTTAAATCCTGCTGCAGATGCATGGCGATTTTTCTTTCCCACGATTCGCATAAGAGGCTGCTAGAAATGCATAATTGTATCTAATATAGTAGTTCTTCTTAAAGTCCATACCGTATGGTGTTGGTAGTCATATGTCTATCCACATTCTGTCTAATGTACATTCAATCAATTCTAACACAGATGATCCTCCATGCCATGATATCAGACTGTCCGGCATCTTTTCTCCATGGATCCCTCTGCCTCTCCACCCCTCCAACTTTCCTACTGTCACTATGTACTCCAGTTTTCTCCTTCTCATCACATGACCAAAGAATGTAAGATCGTCTCTGTCTGATGTGGGCAGTCAGTTCTCTTCATGAGTCGGTTTCTGTCAAGACATTTTCATTACTCTTTTTTTTAATCTGTCCAGGGTATTCTTATTATCCATCTATAAAACCACATTTCTTTCAAATAATTTTTATTTTTTTTACTAATCTGCCACACTTTTCTTAAAAGATGACCTTGACTCCCAGGTCGACCCAGATTTGAGTGGGTACCGGGTGCAGTCCTGGGAAGTAGAGGCGACCTGTGTAATGCTGACCACATCACCCATCTTGTGCCGTTTGGTCTATAAAATATAGGTCTAGCCCTATACGCCTAAAGGCGTGGAAAAGGGTCCTTTACTTTTTTACTTACTTACTAATCACGATTGACTTCCATATAGTAGTTACAGATGTATAATTTAAAATAAACTGGTACTAATGTAGTATATAAAGATGTTTGATTGATAATGTTGAGATTAACTGCTGTTCTTAGCCTTGAATGTAATTGTCTCTCACATCTGTTATTCCTTGCTGAATCTTTGTGGCGGATAAATTCTGCCTGACAATTGTTAGCTTTTCTCATGTGGATCCCGAGGCCCCATTAATAAGAAAACAAGAATTGACTCACTGCTTCCCCAACAAGCATATGGTAGAAGTCGACTAACTGGCGTCATTCTTCGAATTTGGAGTGCATCTGCCGGAGAGGCAAAAAACCAATAGTCTGCATACAAATATGCCAGATCTCAGAAATGGATGTGCATGCCACACTCAGGTTCTGGAAGAAGACAAAGTCAGGAGGCGGACGAACACCCAAAACCTTTCACCGGAGTTTACAGCCGGTGAATGCGAGGAAGTCGATTTTTTAGTTTGCCAGCCTTGTAGCGGGGGATTTAGGCAGGTTTATTTTTATGTAGTCACTGATATTTGAACTAGCGTAATAAATATGGGAATCAGATAATTTAGTGGGAATTGTCTGGAAAAGTAGATTTGGAAGTAGGACCCTGGCCACCCCAGGTCATATCGTTAGCACTACAGTCACCCAAGTAATTAATCTTTGTTTCCAGAAAAATCACATTTTAACTGAGATCGATGTATAAGATGTGTGGTTGCGTGAAAATTAATACTTAGTTTTGACCTGTTTGGATTAGAAATTCACATGTGTGCCTTTTGGCATAATGTAAAGTGACAAATATGAGTTATGAGTTAGATTATCTTTACAGCACTCCATACACATCCATAGGCGCTCAGACTCCATTCTCACTATATTCATCGAGTTGTGCGGTTAATAGTGCCAGTCCTATGTTGGTTAACAAGACTTTGTGTGTGTCCAGTGTGCTTCACATGCTTGGCTGTGCCCATCGGTGACAACCCCTATTTTCAAAAATTGTGTCTTTGTGTAAGCATAGTTAAATAGCCCATGCCTAGAATATGTGAAGATCTTATAATTCATAAAAGGAGTATTTTTTGTTATATTGCCTTGTTTAACAATATTGTATCACTGTGGGAGAGTAGATGCATTGTAAAACTGTTTGAGAACCTCTGTTGTGTTTCCCAGGACACCAAGAGAATAACAACTTCTGCTCTGTGAACATTAATATTGGCCCTGGTGATTGTGAATGGTTCTCCGTTCCTGAGCAGTACTGGGGTGTCATTCAGGACATGTGTGAGAGGTAAGTTGGGCATCAGTCAAGGGTAAAGCTAAGTTGGACTTCAGTCAGCCAGCCAGCCAATCCAATACTATCTCCATACTGAAGGTTGACCACAGTGGATCCTCCCCCACTTTGTGTCCTCATTCTGGTGGCACACTCTGTTCATTGATGTTTCTTCGTGTCTTCCCTCTTGTATTGTGATGGTATCTTCCCGCTTGTATCGACAGCTGCCCAGTTTTCAACTTTGTCTTTTCTTATGGTGCGTTTGTGTGTGTGCGCGCCATGTAATTGAGGAGTGGCTGGCCAAGTGGTTAGGGCACTGAGCCCTCATACCGGACACCCATGTCTGATCCTCATTAAGGTATGGAGATTGTTTTCTGGGGGCAAAATATAAAAAGCTTAACCTGCGCAGTTTGTGGCTACTGCACTAGCCATGCAGCCCTTAAATCTTCAGGTTAACACCCCCCCTCCCTATCCTACTGTCCTAAAAATGGAAACTTCAAGCAGTAAAAATAAGTCATATTGTTTGTGTGCACATCTTTTTTTTTTTATTTATACAGATCCCTGGGGGTTAGTGACTGAGCTTTCTGCATGGGTTCCAGAGGGGGGGGGGGGGGGGGAATAGACCCACTGCCCTTTAAACAAGCTTGTTTGCAGAAGACTAATAAAGGATTGGCTGAATTATATGTGTGTCCCTGAAAGGCACATATACTGCAGCTTAATTGTAAGCCGCAACACAACCGGCCAACCGTCCTTTTAAGGGCTGACATAGAAGGAAGAACTGCTGAAGCTACTGAGCTCACATTTTATGTGTCACTCGTAGGGACTAACTGCTCTATGGAAATGCTGACGCTAACCCATGTGGTTAAAAAAAACCAGGGGTCTTCTTTTTTTTTTTACTTCCTCTTTTACCGCTTCAGGTGTCAAGGGGGATAAAATGTTCTCTCATGTTGTTGGTGGTCTACCTCTGCTTCTGGCTCTTCTGGCTGTTTCAACACATAGTTCTGTTGTAGAGTTTTTGTGATGTTATCTTTCCATCTTGTTCTTGGTCTACCCTGTGCTCTATGTACCTCTCCTCTTTTAGAGTATGCCTTGTATTGTATAGCTTCGCAAGGAATTCCAGACAGACTGCTTGATCTGCTGTGTTTGTAGGTAATTTAGAACTCAAACCCTGTACAAAGATGTTCATCTACACTTAAAAGATGTTAGTAATTGTGATGGAAGGATATTGTACAGTCTGGTAGATAATGTCTTAACTTGTCACCCTCCTCAGGAATGGAGTCAACTACCTGCATGGCTCCTGGTGGCCCATCCTGGAGGACCTTTATGAGGAGGACGTCCCGGTGTACAGGTTTATACAGAAGCCTGGCGACCTGGTCTGGATAGGACCTGGTACAGTGCACTGGGTTCAAGCCATTGTGAGTTCCTAATTCATTCATTTACTCTGATTTTGTCTCTGTATTTCTTTCTCTCACCTTGTTACTGTCTTTATTTGTTTTTCTCAAATGTATGCATGGATAGGCTGCCTATTTTTTTTTTTCTTTCTCTTTCTTTTTTTTTTTTTTTTTTCACCCCAGTGTATTCCATTTTGTGTGTAACAAAATATATGTATGTAATATATATATATAAAGTTGATCACTCCTTGAAAATTTTTTTTTCTTATTCTTGATAATTTTACAAATTTATTAGTGACCACTGTAGAATTCCCCCCCCCCCCCCCCCCCCCCCCATTTGTTCGTGGTTTTTTTTTTTTTTTTTTTTTTTTTTTTTTTGGGCTGGATTTCTGATGTGGTGATGTCCTTTTCTCTGTGTGTTTCTGGGACAATGTTTATTGCAGCTAAAATATTTTAGTGTCAAAGAAACAGTGCAGTCTGTGAGCTTGTTCCCCCCCCCCCCCACCCCAATCATGTTCAGATTCCAAATTGTCAGTAATGTTTTAAAATAGGTATTTTTAATTAACAAAAACAGTTAATCACTTGCAGGGACTGTGGTTAAAACTTTCAGAAGCACCTGCGTGGGAAAGAGTGAGTTGAAGTAATAACTGTCTAGACTTGACAAAGGAGAATTAATTCTCCCATTCTGACTTCCTGCCCGATATGGAGGATAGGCTTGGCAGAATGTTTAGCTTAAAAGTTATTTTAGGTCCTGACAGCACTTTGCTAATGCAGTTTTCACATATGGACGAAAGTCTAGGGTTTTGCTGCCTAAGCTGCTGAGTTGAGTGCTTGGTGTAGCACTGTGAGCTGTTTTTTAAAAAGAGTAGAATGCCCTTCATTGTGCAGCGGTTGTGTCATGCTATTCAATATAACCGGTTTATGTGTAGGCTGGCTGTAATAATTTTGCACGTGTGTGGCCAGCTCATCGTGACCGACAACTTCCATCAATGACAACCTACATTTCTGGTGGCGATTATAGGCTTTGGCACCTCCAACAACTGCCTTATTCATTTACTACGTGCTCATTTTTCTGGATTGTACTGGCACTAATTTTTTGTTCATCAGTATTTTAACTATTACTAGACTGAAAATTAATTCTGAAGTCAAATCACTGCTGTTGTATGGAGCAGAAACACAGAGAACAACTAAGACAATTACTAATAAACTACAAACATTCATTAACTGGACCAAGAGTAAAGAAAAGACACTGGTGTTGGATAGGACAGACGTTGAAAAAAAACAAACCGAGAACAGTATAACTATAATTTTTTTGCACTGGAACCCACAGGGGTATAGATATAAAGGAAGACCAAAAACACATGGAGAAGGGAGCTAGAGGGCAAAATTAAATGATGTGGAGGACATGGGCAGAGCTGGGTACGATTGCAAAGGATAGAACGACTTGGCCTGAGCTGGTTGAGGGCCTATGCCAAATTGGGGGTTAAAAAGGCATAAGTATTTCAAATATGAGACAGTGAGAGATTTACTTTGATTTTCCCTGGCACAGGAACGGAGCAAGTACGGGGTGACCCAGTTGAAGTGATATTGAAACAACTGCAATTTACATTCTCCAAAACCCGTGTTAAATGTCAGGTATATTTATGTTTGTCCAACCTTAGGGCTGGTGTAACAACATTGCCTGGAACGTGGGACCTCTAACTTACCGCCAGTACACCCTGGGGGTGGAGCGGTATGAGTACAACAAGCTTCAGAGCTACAAGTCCATTGTGCCTATGGTGACCCTGTCCTGGAACCTTGCCCAGAATGTGGGCTTCTCTGACGCCAAACTCTTCAATGCTGTCAAGTAAGTAGCTGTCTGTTTTGTTTTTATCCACCCCACTCGCCTTCAGATTACGATCCATAGGTTTAACTTCTCAAGGAGGAGAATCAAATAGCTATATATCCAAGAAACTTCATGTATACCAGTTATGTAGGGGCCCCCACAAAACTGTTAATGATGTAAACTGTAGTTCAGTATGCGTTGTTGTTGTTGTTATTTTTGTTATTGCTCCAGTGAAGCATGAGCTTTAGTCCTTTGGCACAGTGCCACGTAGTGGAATTTACATATTTTCACAAACTGTTCTTGTCCTCCGTACAAGGTGTTCCACTTGTCTGGTCTTGGAGGAAGAAGCATTCTTCTAGTCTCGTTGAGTTTTGGGCACTCAAAGAGATTATGATGAACAGTTTCATAGGGGTAGTTACATAGCTGCCACTCTGGGGAGATTTGCAGCCTGTATCAAGGAAGAGAATTTAACAGCTACAAATCTGGGAACCCTCAAATAACATACCATCAAGTGCCTTGCAGAATGGCGTAGACGATCATGCCTCTCCACAATCTGCAACTGCATGAATCAGTTCCTGTGCTGACACCCCCCCCCCCCCCCCCCCCATGCCACGACAGAAGACTGTCAGGAATCTTCTCACATTGTCTCCCTCTGGCTCTCTTTCCACAGATCTTTCCAGTGGTCACATGTTTATTTTACCTCCTCACCCCCCCAAAAAAATTGTCTCTTTCTGATGTTTGTGATAAGTTATTTACCTTTGAGCTTTCGCGTCTTTCAAAACATCTGGGTTGCTCTTCTTAGCTGCCCAAGGAATTCTAAGGATTCTTCTGTAAAACCACATCTCGGAGGCCTCAAGATAATGTACATCTTTTTCATTAATTGTCCAGTTTCACAGACGCATATTAAAACTGGCTTTATATAGCATGCAAGATTTCTTTTCCTAAGCTCCTTGACATGGATTTATTGCATAAAATATTCTTCATTTTGTATAATAGTTTTGGCCTGTCCTATTCTATTCTTTATCTCTGCGGCACGTTTTCCATCGGATGTTATCTATGAGCTTAGACACTTAAATTTCTGTACTATTCCTTAAACAACGCTGTTGACTTTTCAAATTCAGCTGTAACATATGGCACATTTACATTGGGGCCCCTACAAAACCATTACAAAGTAACCTGTAGTCCAGTCCTGGATAAGGATGGGTTGTGTTGTAGCTGTGCTGAAGGCAGACTTCCAGATTTACCGAAGGTAACCCCAGAGTTACTGCTCTTAGGGGATGTAGTGCTGGCACAGTCTCATAAAATTGCTTGCCAGATAATCTCCAGAATTTCTGTTGGCTGTACAGGAAAGGCAACAGTGGAGGGATCTGAAGGTAACCATGAAGGGATCTGGAAGAAACAGAGGAGGGGTCTGGCCACATCACCACATAATTCATTGACACTATAGCAGAGTCGCCTAAGTGCTAAATGGTTGTTATGAGAAAGCTGCATTTGAACTTTTAAATCAAATAAAAATTGTGTATTTGCTTAAAAAATTACTTCGTTTTGACCTGTTTGGAGTAAAATTTCACATTTGTACCTTTTGCATTTTTAAAGGGACAAATAACAGCTATAAAAATGCACTTAGATTGAAAATGGCATTAGAAATGAAGCCAGACCAAAATATACATGGAGAATAGAACTAGAGAATGAAGATTAAAGATATGCAGAACATGTTGTCTTAGTTATTGAAGCTAATCTTTATTTGACCTCTTGAAGTGTCATCATTTGTCCTCATGAAGTATCAACATTTGACCCCTTGAAGTGTTATCATTTCACCTCTTGAAGTGCTATAATTTGACCACTATGAAATGTCATTTGACCACTAAGAAGTGTCATCATTTGACAACTTAAAGTATCATTTGTCCCCATTAAAGGTGATCATTTGCCCCCTTGCAGTTTCATTATTTGACCTCATTATGAATCACCATTTGACCCTCTATGAAGTGTCATAATTTCCATCTTTTGAACTAATTGTTTTCTTTGGTTTTTGTGTGTGTGTGACCCCAATGCCACTATTACGTCTGACCGTCAGTTCACTTCTGCCATTTCAGGACAACTTTAATGAGATCGTTGCGTCAAGTAAGAATGACCTTGGACATTGTTGAGGAGTTAAAGAAGGAGGTGAAATGGCACGGGCGAACACCCGAAGAGGCAGCACATTATTGTGAGGAGTGTGAGGTAGGACGTTATTGTGAGGTAGCACATTACTGTGAGAAGTGTGCGGTAGCACATTATCATGAGGTAGCACATTATTGTGAGAAGTGTGAGGTAACACATTATTGAGAGAAGTGTAAGGTAGCACATTATTGTGGAGAGTGTGAGGACATTATTGTGAGAAGTGTGAGGTAACACATTATTGTGAGAAGTGTGAGGTAGCACATTATTGTGAGAAGTGTGAGGTAGCAAATTATTGTGAGAAGTGTGAGGTAACACATTATTGTGAGAAGTGTGAGGTAACACATTATTGTGAGGTAACACATTATTGTGAGAAGTGTGAGGTAACACATTATTGTGAGAAGTGTGAGGTAGCAAATTATTGTGAGGAGTGTGAGGTAGCAAATTATTGTGAGGAGTGTGAGATAAGACATTATTGTGAGGAGTGTAAGGTAGGACATTATTGTGGGGAGTGTGAGGTAGGACATTATTGTGGGGAATGTGAGGTAGGACATTATTGTGGGGAATGTGAGGTAGGACATTATTGTGAGAAGTGTGAGGTAGGACATTATTGTGAGAAGTGTGAGGTAGGACATTATTGTGGGGAGTGTGAGGTAGGACTGGATGATGTGTTTTTGTGTTTCTGCACTACTCCCTGATCCCACCTAATAATTCAATAGCTGCATGAGTTTCTCAGGTCCTCCCCCGTCACAGCTAGTTTACAATGGTTGTGTAAGGCTTTTCCCTTCCCCAGTCCAGTCTCAACTATCATTGATCAAGCTGCGTGAGGTTATTTTCTCCTCCATTAACTCAGCTAATATTGATCAGGCAACATGAGCTTTCTTAAGTTCCCCTTCATCTCAGCTAATGAAGTTTGGGCAGCATGGGATCCCAAATGATTGTATTGAGAGGCCTGATAATCACTGCTGGTTAAGGCCACAGTTGGAGTTCCTCCTCTCTGTAGCACAGGGGACTAAGCAGTACTGTAGAAATCATGTGTTGTTCATGCAGCATGATCCTTCTCTCGGCCTACCTTGTTTACTCCAAGGGAAAAGTAACACCAAATGTTTAGAATAAAACCTGCTGCAGAAGGAAGCTGCCAGATCAGAAGAGCAGGCCTGGTCTGCCCTGCAAAAATTGTCAGTGTGCCTGCCTTGTATAACAGTGGCAAATCTAGGATGCTTATGTAATTGAATGTATGTGTGTGGTGTATATGTGGGTATCAGGTTTTTTTTTCTTCTTATGCCTAGTGGCACATGAGGCCCCGTAGAGGACTTAAATGTATATACCTTCCTAACCTGTGCAGTTTTTCATGTCAGAGATGCAGCACTCAGTTCACTTTCCATCGATCATCTCCATGTTGATTTTGGGCACCCGTTGTTTCTCTTTCCCTCTGGAGCACAAGTGAGAGCTGTTTTGGCAGCCATTTATTCCCATAACATGGCCAAGCCATTTCCATCTTCTCTTGGTTATCATACTGTCTAGACTTGTTGGTTTGTGACTTGAAGTAGTTTAGTGTTTAAGATTATATCTGGCCAGAAAATTTAGATAATTTTACGTAGACATGTGTGGTGGAAGGTGGACAGCTTGTGCACATCCTTTTTGGTCATTCTCCAGCATTCTGCTCCATAAAGAACTTGCAAAATGGCTCTAGTAGTCAGTTTGAGTCCCCTGAAGTAGTTGTTAGATTTCCAGATTTGCCTCATCAGTCCAAAGGCAGCTCTAGCTTTGTGTAAAATTGATTTGATGTCTTCTTTGTCCCTCCCAGTAGGAACACCGCACTGCCAAGATGTGTGAACTGTTCTAAATTTTTCAAGTATTTTATGGTCACTGGTTGTTGGTTTGGACTCTTGGTTCATGATCTTAGTTTTCCTTGTATTTATTCGGCCCCACCATTTCTTCTGTGCTGTGTAGTCTGCTACTTTTCTCTTGCATATGTTCAGTGTATGTTTGTATTTATGTATGTATGCATGTTTGATATGATTGTGTATTTGGATATATGCATTTACCGTCCATGTCTTAGCGTTTTATACTTGATAGTCATGGTAAGTGCAATTGTTAAATGAACATTTAAAAAAATGCTTTTTAGGATAAAATGCAACTGCATTATGAAAGATGAAAATTTAGAAGGGCTGAATCTAATACAGGCCTGCATGCCCTATTTGTTACCCCTTGAACTTTGTTGGTTCGTTCATTTCTTATGTGTATTGAATTAGATCTTTATAGACATATCTATTATTGTTCGATACAAAATGAAATTAGTGTTGCCCACTGGGCTTGACCGGAGGAAACCAAACTGTTCCACCACACAACACTTCAGCTCAGAAGTGGAAGTTTATGGTGATCTCATTTCACTTTTGTGATGATTGCAGTTTTGGAATTATTTCACTTCTGCAATGCTGACACTTTTGCAATGATTACACTTTTGCAATGATTACACTTTCAGGTGGAGGTCTTCAACATACTGTTTGTGACAGAAAGTGATGGCCAGTTTTTGGTTCATTGCCAGGACTGTGCTCGCAAAGCCAGTGCCACATTGGACAAGTTTGTAGTGCTCAACCAGTACACTTTAGATGAACTCATCAACATTTACGACAGATTTAAGATTCACACGGTGAGTAACTTTTCAAAATGTTTCACTTCGTTATTTTTTCAACAACATGCCGCTAACTCACCATATCTCACTTGTCCACCATATCAAAAACTTGGACAACAAATGCACAATCAAGTCAGATGTGTCAGTGAAAGGCACAAATACCACGGCTATGCTGAAAACAAGAACTTTCAGAGATCAGAGATGAGGAGCGTTGTCTGGATCTTTTCCCCTTGGGAAATGAACAGGCTGACTGGCTCTGCACAACCTGGTGGAATACTGATTCATGATAAGGCAGATGTGGTTAGGGTCTTGTTGAAGAATGTGTACAGTTCAGAGGCGCAAACGGATTGGCAGTCTGGTAATAGTGATGCTGGGGGGAGTGACGAGGGGTTCTGGCTGATACACAATGTTTAGAGGAAAGACAAGATGGATGTATAATCAGAATGCTACTGGCACAACTGGTGTTGGAATTCTGCCCTGGCTGCTGAAGATGGGGACGGAGAGCTTATGGGAATGCCCTGATTGCTGTGATGTCAGTTCTTGACTCAAACTCAACTCAAAGCAAGAACTGTTTAGTTGCGGCATTTGGACAAAGGAATTAAAAGGGAACACATCCTTCATTTGTCAGGTCCTGTACAGAACTGTCATCATGGCAGGCTGGAACGATACATTGTAACCTGCCTTCTTTCTCTTTTTATGAACTTTCCTGTCTAGATAACTTTGTTTCCTGTGTCCACCATCATGCTACTTGACCCCCGCCTCTTTCCTCAGGAACTTTACCTACCATCACTGTTCTCTCCAAACATTATTTAGAGAGAACCCCAACAGAGCCAGACTAAATGACACCCCTATCAAAATCAGCCTGATTATGATGGCCCACAAACCCGACAAGTAAATATATTCCTAGGCCAACATCAGACTAAAGAAGTCAAGAGTCACGTAGACATTGTCAGTGTCCTTGGAGAGATAAGACGCTCCGAGGATTTTCGAAGCATCGCGTCCACATCACTGCTAAGAATATGAGATCTAGGAGTAAAGATCGGCACAGCCAAGCATGAGAGGCACACCAGATGAAAACAAAGGCTTGTCAGCCAGCATAGAACTGGCACTATTAACCACATGATGCTGATGAATATGTTGAAGGGGGAATCTGAGCACCTATGGATGTGTCTGGAGTGCTGTGAAGATAATCCAACTCATGAGGGCCAAAACGAAATTGAATTTAGTAGACCTCGACAAAAAAAAGCTTGCTGACTTGGACATCGGACATCGCTGCAATTCATATCTGTATGTTTATTGGGAATTACTCTTATCTGTATGTTTATTGGGAATTACTCATATCTTTATGTTTATTGGGAATTACTCTTATCTGTATGTTTATTGGGAATTATTCATATCTGTATGTTTATTGGGAATTACTCATATCTGTATGTTTATTGGGAATTACTCTTATCTGTATGTTTATTGGGAATTATTCATATCTGTATGTTTATTGGGAATTACTCATATCTGTATGTTTATTGGGAATTATTCATATCTGTATGTTTATTGGGAATTACTCATATCTGTATGTTTATTGGGAATTATTCATATCTGTATGTTTATTGGGAATTACTCATATCTGTATGTTTATTGGGAATTACTCTTATCTGTATGTTTATTGGGAATTACTCTTATCTGTATGTTTATTGGGAATTACTCTTATCTGTATGTTAATCGCAAACTACTCATATATTTGTTTATTGGAACTACTCTTATCTGTAGGTTTATTGGAACTACTCTTATCTGTATGTTTATTGGAACTACTCTTATCTGTATGTTTATTGGAACTACTCTTATCTGTATGTTGACCTATGACTTCTCTTACCTTTTTAATGTTCTGGAGCTATATTTTCTTTTATATTGACCCGGGTGCCCTTATCTTTCTGTTGACCTGAGGCTAACCTTATCTTTCTGTTGACCTGAGGCTAACCTTATCTTTCTGTTGACCTGAGGCTAACCTTATCTTTCTGTTGACCTGAGATTAACCTTATCTTTCTGTTGACCTGAGGCTAACCTTATCTTTTTGTTGACCTGAGGCTAACCTTATCTTTTTGTTGACCTGATGCTAACCTTATCTTTCTGTTGACCTGAGGTTAACCTTATCTTTTTGTTCACCTGGAACTTCTATAGTTTGATATAGCCTAGGACTATATTTACATGTATGTTGACCTGGGAACTACCTGTTTGTTGGTCAGGGAACTACCTGTCTGTTGGTCAGGGAACTACCTGTCTGTTGACCTAGAGACACTATTACCTTTATGTTGACCTATTATACAGTGAATATATGTATATTTTTTTTTCCACAGCCACATCAAGGACACCCTATTTATGGTGGCGTCTATAGTTGATCAGTAAACCATAACTAGGATAGGATACATTTGTCATGCAACATTGGTCACCTCAGAATGGATCATCTAAGCCTGGGTTCTCTCACCTCAGCCTGGGTCAATCAGTTTCTATATTTTGGACAGTGCACGGATGCAGCTTTAACTTTGCAAAAATACTGAGCTGTGAATTTCACAATTGGATACCAGTTTCATTTTGTTTTGTTTTTAAACCATTGAATACCAGTTCTTGTGATTGGATACCAGTTTCTGTACGAGTTTTCATCTTTATCCGATGGATGTTAGTAGGATTTCACTATTGGATACCAGTTTCGTCAACTGATACTGGTATTTGCTGTTGGATATCAGCTTTCTTCTGCAGATACCAGTGTTTTATTTTTACCCAGTGGAATACCAGTTTCGACCATAAGAATACCAGTTCTTGCTGTTGGAAGCCACCTTCTAACTGTGGATACCAGTTTTTTCTTTTGATGAATACCAGTCCGGAGCATAAGAATACCAGTTTTTGCTATCAGCTTTCATAAATGGATAACCCTCTACAGAAAGGAAATTATCTTCGAAATAAAGAATTGTACGTTACACAAATTTCACACAGGGGGGCATGGCTGCTGTCACATGTCGGCCTTAATTATTAAATGCAGAATTTGCATGAACTACAAACAGGACCTCATAATCTTATGTGTCATGGGTAATTGTGCAACTGACAAATGTAAGTTCGACAGAGGGGAAAACTAAGGCGCTTCTCATGTTTTGTGGATTTCTTTAAAACCCAGAACCTTTTATTAGTATGGACCACGGTGGTAATTGATGGAGCCAGAAAAGCTCAAATGGTTGTACTTTTGAAAGTTTTACAGTACAACAAATACCAAGAAACACTGAAGTTCATTTGCTTAGCATCTGTTGATTTGTGTAGCATCTGTGGCAGTCTCTGTCTGGTTGATGGAGGAATGAGTAAAGAGAATTATATATGCATACTGAGGCTATGAATAGTGTTTGTTTGTTGATTATGTTGTTCTGTTGGCTGGCATTTTATGTATTATTTTTTTTCCTGCATTGTCCTTAAAATGGTGGTTGCGCATTGTGTTGTGGTTTACAGGTAGGAATCAGTAGAGAAAGAAGATGACTATGGCCTGGAGAAAATGAGGCACCTGGGTGTAACCAGAGGGTCTGGCCGGCTCACTACACTCAGAGGAAAGGCAAGACGGATATTAAAACCAGACTGTGACCAGTATCATCAGTACTGGAACTCTGAGCTGGCTGCTGAAGATTAGGACGGAGCATGCCTGGGAATGACTCGAGAGCTGTGATGTCAATTCTTTGGCTCAACTCAACAGATAGGCTGCATCTTTCATCCCATTACATCAACTGTTAAAAAAACCCTAATTTGTATTTTGTGACATACTTGTTATGAGGCAGATGATCATTGATTTCTCCTAAATGGTGCCCTCACACAAGGATTTTATAAGTTTATTGTTACTGAATTGCTAACTGATACAGAAACACACGCAGTTCTTTTCTTAGTTATCCTCACTCTGGCACTTCCGCAAGACATAAATCGGACTAGAACTAGATTGACAAACAGTGCAGAATCAGTGTCAGTGGCTATCTTATTAAAAACTTAGATTTGAGAGAATAAATGTATATATTTGACTTGATGTGCTAGGTTGATTTGCGGTGAAGGTGCCTTACTTGTATTTGAAGCCAGTTAACATGCAACAGAACATGGGTCTTTTCTGTCTCACTGTTGAATCCATCATGGTAAATTTATTACGAACGAACAAACTTTATTTTCAAAGGGTTAAGAATTGGGCACACAGGCCCGTCTAACATTCTGCCCTTACAAGCAAGGTGGCATCCTTTGGTTCCAGTGTCTTTTGTCTTCTAGACCAAATATCCATATCAGACTTCTGGCATTAGTATCTGTCAAGAAAAGTGGAGGCAGGGGTGACTAGCACGATGTTGGACACAGGATATCGAGGACACCTTAGACACAAGTTACAAAGGAACTGGGTGACTTTCCCCGCTTGCTGTGATAAAGAGCATCATTATGTATATGATGATGACCTCTTTATGAAGCCAAGTCATTATTACATGTCTCCAGCAGACATTTGTAACCATAACAAGTACCCTTCAGACTTTTGCCACCATTAGACCTTTTGTGTTGAAACTGTCTCGATGGACAACAGGTCAAATGTTTTGGCCATGTAACAAGACTGGCAACAGCGAGCGGTGTTATACAAGAGTATCAGTCACACTGAAAAGTACTGTATATGAAGTGAACGGAAGGGCCTATTCCAGAGATCTCTTCCTGCCCTGATGCTGCGAGGCGTTCCAGGAGTTGAGAAAAGAACAATCTTTTATCATTACTATTAGATATGCCTGTTAGACCGATCTCATCAATAAAAAGTTTTTGCTAGATGTTTGGTGTCGCTGTCAGATACGGCTACCAAACTCGATAATTATAAAATACCAACAATTGTCATTCCCACATAGGATATTGTTTTCACTTTGAGAAAAAGTAAATTATAAAATTTATTCTAACAAAAATCATTACATGGCTTTTAAATCAACATTTTAAAAATTCTGTTAATAATTGAGACTGAGTATTGTAAATAGAAAACAGTATGTAAATGAATTTCTTTTGAATGTTTACTTTCTTTCTAAATTCCAGATCTGCTTTGCCGTGGATAACATTTATATATGTAATGAAATCAAGTATGTGAATTATTGACATTATGTTAAATTATCTACTATTGTTGTTCACACTTGTGTTTGTTTTTATAGTCAGAACCTGTGTAGCGATACCACGGTAAGGTTAGGTTCTTTCAACCAGGTACCTTGAGTTGTAGCTCCAGGTGAACATTCTGTGTTAGATCCCTGTCTACGGATGTCAGAAAATAGAAGTTTGATGTTTGTTACACTGCCCACATTTTCTGTGTGCCTGTGAGGTTAGTACTGTGAATACCATAAATATTCGGACACTTGAGGTCACATAATTGTGGCCACCTTTTAGAATGCTGAGAATTCTTGAACATGTCTTTTTCTTATAACCCATGCCATCATGTCTATCCACTACCTTCTGTCACGTGTACTTTCAGTCAACTCTGATACAGATCATCCTTCAAGCCATCATCCTTCAAGCCATGTTGTCAGACTGTTCAGCATCTTTTCTCTGTCGCCCTCTTCTCTCCAACTTTCCTACCGTCACGATGTACTCCAGTTTTCTCCTTCTCATCACATAACCAAAGAAAGCTGACTGTCTCTTTTGTGTTGTGAGCTATCAGTTCTCTCCGTGAACCAGTTTCTTTCGAGACATTACTTTTTATAATCTGTCCAGGGTATTCTCATCATTCATCTATAAAACCACACCTCTGGACTCTTGAACATGTAAAATGACCAAAATCCAAGTAACAAAAGAGGCAGATTGACAAGTGTAACTGATCTTCACCTCCTCTTTCACAGCTTTGGTGTCAAGCAAGAAGTAAGGTTCTGCTTCTTGCTCTTCTGGTCACCTCGACCGTAGACACACTGTACATGTTCCTCTGATATGTTTCCATCTTGTCCTTGGTCTACCTCGTGCTCTACCCTCATCTCCTGTTTTAGTGTTTGCCTTGTATGGTCATCATGATGTTGTATGTATACAAGATCCAGGATATGCTTTGAATTGTTGTTGGATTGAGAAACAAAGTGGATTCAACATAAATGCCAGAAACAAGATAGACCTCTCTACCTGTTAAAGATAAATACTAAACTAAACATAACTACCAGGGACAGACCTTTAGCTGTTCTAGACTTAAACATTGAAAAAACATAACAGCCAGAAACATGAGATACTTGCTAAACAAATTTCTAGAGAAAAACAAATTTGATTCGCAACAAGAATGAGGACTTTTACCAAATTAGGACCTAGACAGATGCAAATATAAACAGAACTGTTAAATGTAATACAAGATTCAGTATAAACAGCTGTTACATATAACACAAGATTCAGTAAAAACAGAACTGTTAAATATAACACAAGATTCAGTATAAACAGAACTGTTACATATAACACAAGATTCAGTATAAACAGAACTGTTAAATATAACACAAGATTCAGTATAAACAGAACTGTTAAATATAACACAAGATTCAGTATAAAAGAACTATTATATATAATTCAAGATTCAGTATAAACAGAACTGTTAAATATAATACAAGATTCAATATAAAAGAACTGAGATTCAATATAAAAGAACTGTTAAATATAACACAAAATTCAATGTAAACAGAACTGTTAAATATAACACAAGATACAGTATAAACAGAACTGTTATAAATAACACAAGGTTCAGTATAAACAGAACTGTAACTGTTAAATATAACACAAGATTCAGTATAAACAGAATATAAACAGAACTGTTAAATATAACACAAGATACAGTATAAACAGAACTGTTGAATATAACACAAGGTTCAGTATAAACAGAACTGTTAAATATAACACAAGATTCAGTATAAACAGAACTGTAACTGTTAAATATAACACAAGGTTCAGTATAAACAGAACTGTTGAATATAACACAAGGTTCGGTATAAACAGAACTGTTGAATATAACACAAGATTCGGTATAAACAGAACTGTTGAATATAACACAAGATTCGGGATAAACAGAACTGTTGAATATAACAAGATTCGGGATAAACAGAACTGTTGAATATAACACAAGATTCGGTATAAACAGAACTGTTGAATATAACACAAGATTCGGTATAAACAAAACTGTTGAATATAACACAAGATTCGGTATAAACTGAACTGTTGAATATAACACAAGATTCGGTATAAACTGAACTGTTGAATATAACACAAGATTCGGTATAAACTGAACTGTTGAATATAACACAAGATTCGGTATAAACTGAACTGTTGAATATAACACAAGATTCGGTATAAACTGAACTGTTGCATATAACACAAGATTCGGTATAAACAGAACTGTTGCATATAACACAAGATTCGG